TGTCATTTTTGAGACTGCACCAAAGTACTGCATTTCGGACTCTTGCATTGAGTATGAGGGCTACTCCATTTCTTCTAAGGGATTCTTGCCCACAGTAGTAGATATAATGGTCATCTGAATTAAATTTGCCCATTCCTGTCATAGCTTTTCTTCCAAGGAGCAAGCGTCTTTTAATTTCATGGCTGCAATCACCATCTGCAGTGATTTTGGAGCCCAAGGAAATAAAATCTGTCACTGTTTCTGTTGTTTCCCCATCTGTTTGCCATGAAGTGATGGGACCGGATGCCTTGATCTTCATTTTTTAATGTTGAGTTTTAAGCTAGCTTTTTCACGTTTCTCTTTCACCTTCATCAAGAGGCTCTTTAGTTCTTCTTCAATTTCTGCCATAAGGATGGTATCATCTGAATATCTGAAGTTATGGGTATTTCTCCCTGGAATCTTGATTCCAGATTGTGCTTCATTCAGCCTCCCATTTCGCATGAGGTACTCTGCATATAAGTTAAATAAGCAGGGTAACAATATACAGCCTTGACATACTCCTTTCCCAATTTGCAACCAGTCCATTGTTCTATGTCTGGTTCTGACTGTTGCTTCTTGACCTGCATACAGGTTTATCAGGAGGGAGGAAAGGTGGTCTGGTATTTTCCACATTCTTTTAGAATTTTCCACATTTTGTTGTGATCCACACAAAGGCTTTAGCATAGTCAATGAAGCAGATGTTTTTCTGGAATTATCTTTTTCGATGTTTTTCAACATCCAGCAGATGTTGGCAATTTGATCTTTGGTTCCTCTCCCTTTTCTAAATCCAGCTTGAACATCTGGAAGTTCTTGGTTCACATACTGTTGAAGCCTAGCTTGAGCATTAACTTTGCTAGCAGGTGAAATGAGTACAATTGTGTGGTAGTTTGAATATTCTTTGGTATCGTCTTTCTTTGGGATTGGAATGAAAACTTTTTCCAGTCCTGTGGCCACTGCTAAGTTTTCCAAATTTGCTGGCATATTGAGTGCGGCACTTTCACAGCATCATCTTTTAGGATTTGAAATAGCTCAGCTGGAATTCCTTTGCCTCCACAGTTTTGTTCATAGTGATGCTTCCTAAGGCCCACTTGACTTCACACTCCAGGATGTCTGGCTCTAGGTGAGTGATCACACCATCGTGGTTATCTGGGTCCAAAATGCAGTACTTGGGTACTTTTTATCAGCCATCTTTGAAAAAGACAGTCACAGTTTTTTGTAGTTTGCAGCAAATTTGAAAAAATTGGGGCTATTATTTCTAAGTATATTTTCAGCTGTCTTTAACCTTGTTTTTTGGAATTCTTGTTATATGTGTGCTTGATATTCCACAGACCATTAAAAATTTATTCTTTTCAGTTTCTCACTCTGCTTCATTTTTGGATTGTTTATATCGTTATGACTTCAGGTCCCACTGTTTGTTTGTTTGTTTTTCTTCTGTAGTCTCTATAATCTATTAAGCCCATCTAGTGAATGTTTCATAACTTCTATTTCTTTCATTATTTTCACATTTTCCTTTAAATCCTTGAGCATATTTAAAGTTTGCTAATTCTATCATCCTTGATACACACACACACACACACCCCTATGTGTGTGTGTCTATGTATATGTGTGTATATATATGTGTACACACACACACCCACACCCCCACACCCCCACAACTCAGCTTGCAGTTCCCTGGATCTTAGTTTCATGACCAGGGAGTGAACCCAGTTCCTCAGTAGTGACAATGTGAAGTCCTAACTACTAAACTGCCAGGGAATTCCCAGTCATCCCTGGTTTTTCTGAGTCTGTTTCCATTAACTGATCCTCCACTCCACCCCCACCTCCCCATTATGGATTATTTTCCTGCATTTCACATATCTAGCAATTTTTTGTTGGGTGCTTGACCATGGTTCTGCATTGCTGGGGTTCTCCATTTTGTTGTCTTTAAAGAACACTGAAATTTGTTTTGGCAGATAGTTACTTGCTAATCACCTTGTTGTTTTAAGTATTTATTTCGGCCGCACTAGTCGTCACTGATGCAGTGACTCCTCCTCCAGTCACAGAGTGGAGGCGCCTCTCTGGTTGCGGGAAGGCTTCTCCTTGCTGTGGCGTCCTCTGTTGTGCGGCACAGGCTCTCGGCGCACAGGCTGGGCACCTGCGGCTCCTGGGCTCTACAGCACAGGCTCGATCAGCAGCTGTGGCGCGTGGGCTTAGCTGCTCCTTGGCATGTGGTGTCTTCCTGAATCAGGAATCAAATCCATGTCTCTTGCATTGGCGGGTGGCTTCTTTGCCACTGAGCCACCAGGGTAGTCCCAGTCAGCTTGCTTTTAAGCTTTGTTAGGACTGGTCGCTTCAACAAACATGAACTTGGGCAAACTCTGGGTGATAATGAGGGACAAGGCAACCCGGTGTGCTGCAATCCATGGGGTTGCTCAGAGTCAGACATGACTTGGTGACTGAAAAACAATAGCAGGACAGGTTTGGAATAGTTTTTGTTCTGGGCCCAGTTTAGAATTGCTAAGGGGTGAATGAAGTTGTTCAGTCATGTCCGACTCTTGCGACCCCATGGACTGTAGCCTACCAGGCTCCTCCGTCCATGGGATTCTCCAGGCAAGAGTACTGGAGTGGGGTGCCACTTCCTTCTCCAGGGGATCTTCCTGACCCAGGGATCAAACCCCGGATCTACTGTGTTTCAGGCAGGCGCTTTACCCTCTGAGCCACCAGGGCTGATCCTTCTACTAATTCTGCTAAATGTCACTGATGTTAAAAAGGTCTTTCTAGGAAGAAATGTCTCTTTAGGTCTTCCATCCATTTTTGATTGGGTTGTTTTTTTGATATTGAGCTCCATGAGCTGTTTGTATATTTGGAGATTGGTTTTTTGTCTGTTGCTTTGTTTGCATATGTTTTCTCCCATTCTGAGAGTTGTCTTTTCATCTTATTTATGGTTTCCTTTGCTCTGCAAAAGCTTTTAAGTTTAATTAGGTTCCATTTGTTTATTTTTGTTTTTGTTTTCATTACTCTAGGAGGTGGGTTGAAAAAGATCTTGCTGTGGTTTATGTCAGAGTTTATTTCCTGTTTTCCTCTAAGAGTTTTATAATGTGCAGTCTTACATTTAAGTCTTTAATCCAAGTATCATATATTAACACATATATGTAGAATCTAGAAAAATGGTATAGATGAACCTATTTCCAGGGCAGAAATAGAGATGCAGATGTAGAGAATGGATGTGTGGACACAGGGGTAAGGTGAGGGCAGGGATGAATTGGGAGATTAGGATTGACATATATACACTACCATGTGTAAAACAGATAGCTAATGGGATCCTTCTGTATAGCACTGGGAAATCAGCTTGGTGCTCTGTGATGACCTAGATGGGTGGGATAGGGGTGTGGGTGGGAGGGAGGTCCAAGAGGGAGGAGTTATATGGCTCAAACAGTAAAGAATCTGCCTGCAGTGCAGGAGACCTGGGTTGGGCAGATCCCTTGGAGAAGGAAATGGCCACCTGCTCCAGTATTCTTGTCTGGAGAATTTCATGGACAGAGGAGCCTGGTGGGGTACAGTAAACAGTGTCATGAAGAGTCAGACCCAACTGAGCGACTAACATTTTCACTTCTCACTTAGTTGTACAGCAGAAACTAACAACACTGGAAAGCAATTCTACTCCAGTTAAAAAAAAAAAGTGTTTCTACGTTGGCTAGTGAGAACCCTCCCAGCCCTGTGTAAGCTCTAAGAATTGTTCATCTTGCGCTTCCCGGCATTTTTTGTCTGATCTCATGATGTTTTGCCTACCACACAGGTGGGTTTGTTTTCAGTAATGAACTGAAGGGCTCTCTATGTATATTTCTGGATGTGCTTCTCTGTGCTGCAAATCCCAGCCACCTCATCTTTCCCCAGATTCCAATCTTAGCCTGCTCAATTCATCAAGACTGCAGTGCTCTGCCTGGGTACCTCTCTACATACAGTGCAGTCTGACAAGTGCTACCTAGGGCCATCCAGAGTTCACCTGATTTTTCCTGCTTTCGGGGATCACAATCCTGCACTGTTATCCATCATCCAAAATCAGTTGTTTCTGTATCTGATTCAGTTTTCTAGTTTTGTATGGTGGAAGAAAATACTACAAGTCAGAGTATGAATTTTATGCCCAGGATTTTCCAAATGTTAAAATGAAGTCAACTTTGGGCTAGAATTAATAATTTGGGTTCATATTTCAGGCCTGCTTCCAAACTGGTACATTGTTGTTGTTCATTTGCTAAGTTATGTCTGGCTTTGAGACCCCATGGACTGCAGCATGCCAGGCTTTCCTTCAGTCTCCTGGAGTTTGCTGAAACTCATGTCTATTGAGTTGGTGATGCCATCGAACTTCTGTCCAACCATCTTGTCCTCTGTTGTCCCCTTCTCCTCTTGCCTTAATCTTTCCCAGCATCAGGGTCTTTTCCAATGAGTCAGCTCTTTGCATCAGGTGGCCAAAGTATCGGAGCTTCAGCATCAATCCTTCCAATGAATATTCAGGGTTGATTTCCTTTAGGATGGACTGGTTAGATCTCGCAGTCCATGGGACTCTCAAGAGTATTCTGTAGCACCAGAGTTTGAAAGCATCATTTCTTTGGTGCTCAGCCTTCTTTGTGGTCTAACTCTTACATCCATACATATATGACTGCTGGAAAAACCATAGCTTTGACTATATGGACCTTTGTTGGCAAAGTGGTGTCTCTGCTTTTTAATATGCTGTCTAGGTTTGTCATAGCTTTTCTTCCAAGGGGCAAGCGTCTCCTTGTCAAGCGGGCCTTAGGAAGAATTACTACAAACAAAACTAGTGGAGGTGATGGAATTCCAGCTGAGCTATTTCAAATCCTAAAAGATGATGCTGTTAAACTGCTGCACTCTATGCCAGCAAGTTTGGAAAACTCAGCAGTGGCCACAGGACTGGGAAAGGTTAGTTTTCATTCCAATCCCAAAGGCAGTGACAAAGAATGTTCAAACTACTGTTCAAATGTGCTCGTTTTGCGTGCTAGCAAGGTAATGCTCAAAATCCTTCAAGCTACACTTCAAAAGTATGTGAAATTGGTACATGGATATTGGCAAATCTCATTCTGTCTTTGACTTTCACAGCCAAATTGAATATAATCCTACTTTCCCTACTTTTTGGGCATTCCACAACAAGCAAATGGAATCAAAACCAAATCACAAATAAAGGAGCATGGGATGAGTGTAAGTGTAGTGAGATTTGTGCTGCTTCATTGCTCCTCTTACTAACAGCCAACTATTATTAAATGTTGTCTATGTATGAGAATTGTGTAAACCTTTTATGTGAATTAACTCACCAAATCCTCATAACCACCCTGTGGGCTTGGTACTGTTATTGTCTCCATTTCACAGATGAGAATGATACAGAGATCAAACAACTTCTAGAGGGTCATGCAGCTAATGGGCTGTGGCAAAACTGGTGCTGATTTGAGCAGAAGTTCTGTGACTCGGGAGCCATGCTATTAAACCACTATGTGACTATTTGAAAACTACTGAAAATGAACTAACTGCTGCTGATGCAGAATCACAAATTATCTTTAAATATAAAGGAGAGAATATCATCTGTGGAATCCCTTCAATAAATCCTCTTTGTTTAGTCAGCCTGCCTGATTTCCACAGGGAAGCAGAAAGAATGGGCTAGAATTGGAATATATGATTCTTGAGGAAAAACAGACACCATCAGTATGGCAGAAAATGGTGGAAGGTGAGGTACAGCCAAAACTAGAGAAGAGTGAGTGTATGTGGAGTCCAAAAGATCTAGTGTGGTTCCAAGAGGGCAACTGGTGTTTACTGAGTCTTTCCTGTCTAGTAGCTGTCTTGATATTAATCGTTTCTATTATTCTTTTTCTCCCCTTCCTTAGACACATTTAATCAAGTCAAGCACCAAAATGTTAACACTCCTTCCTGGAGAGAGAAAGGCTAAAATTTCTTTTACTCAAAGAAGCTGTCCATCTGCAGGCACTCGGCAGACCAGCATTGCTTCCTTCCTCACCTTGCAGCCAGGTATGGTGAGCACACTGGAAGCAATCAGGGTGCAAAAGGGAGTGCACTCATTTTTCCAAGCTGGAACATTTATGAGAAGTGGTGTCACTAGTGCTTTGTGTTAAACTTAGCTGACTTACTAGATGAGTTATAGAGCACAAGAAAGCATCGTCTTTTGAAAAGCAATATATATGTGCTTTTACAAACATGCTTTTCTGGTTCTATTTATCAGTCTAAAATTATATATTGGTATTCTTTGACAGAACAGTGAGGAAGGGTATACTTGAGGATTGGGGGTGCGAAGGGGAGCCATTAGTAAGGTATATGTATTAGTAAGGTATATGTCTTGATTGGCTACAGTTGGTAGTCTGTATAAGATTAACTGATAATTGATACGTCTATATGAAGCTTCTCAAATTAATCAAAGTTCAAAGGTGTTTCTTCTCTTAGAAAGCTTGGCCTGTGTCTCATCATTCCTTGGCAATTCTTTGTTCGCATGTTTCTCTTTGGGGATCAGCTGCCTTAGAGCAGGCAGGGGCTTACAGAGCAGGATTCTTGTCAGTTGAAGGGTGCCGGGAAGAGTTCTAATTCTTGGTGCAGTTCCCAGGACTGCTTTGCCTAAGCCTTCAAAATGCTTTCTCCCTACCAGAAACAAAAACTTAAAACAATCTTGCTTTAAGCAATGAGTGCAGATTTTTTCAAAACCACTTTCCAATTCAAAATTCTTGTATATTCTGTATAGTCTGTATTGAAATATTAGACAAAGTTGAGAACTCTGTTAAAACAATTTCTATAGTATTTTCTTGGAGAAGGAAAGAAGAAAGTTATCAGCTTTGTTTATAATTAGATCTTGGCATCATTTGTGGTGGAGTAGGAATTTCATGTTTCTTTATCCTTATGGCAGACAGGATCCATTCCACACCTGATAAAACGTACAGTCTGGACACTAATAATTTTTTTAATCATCCTGTCTACTGATTGACTTAGCAAATAATTGTATCTTTATTCCCTTTTCCATGAAATATTTGGGGAGCGGGAGACCTACATTCTCACTGTCGGAAGATTTCTGAGTTGGCTGGTTAATGTGATCTCTGAGACTTTACATAAATGGTATATATTGAACATGTTTCTCAAAGGATAATATCCAGGAGTAATATTTGGCCAGCATCACTATTTAGAAGAAACTACATGTTAAATAAAAAACAAAAGCAAAACTGATCAGCCCTATTGTGTTAAACAAACCCATAACATGAAAGTGCAACTGGAAGAGTAGGCTGTGGTCTGATTATATGCCAAGTTTGACTTCATTAGGTAGGTCAAAGGAAGCACCTATATATTTGAGAAGGGGAATATAAGAGCTGTGTTTTAGAATAGAGATTGAAAGCAGGAAGATCAAAGGTAGTTATGGTAGCTGATACTGATTACAGAAAAAGCCACCTAAATCCTACTCAGGTGGAGTTTTCCTGCAGAATAATATTTGTTCATCTCTTTTACTAGGAAAGACAAATGGTGCTGACCAGAGGAGTGTTTTGTCTCATTCAGAAAATCAGACCAACAAAGAGTCTAAGGAAGACGCAACCCAGTTGGAACATCTGACCCAGGGCTTGCCGGATGACTTCATGGCACCCCCTTTAGTCACTTCAACCCCTGCAGACACCCAGGAAGCTGGGCTTTCTCCTCAGTCTCTCAAGGCTTCTCACCGCCATGGAACAGAGACCCCGTGCTTGACTGTGCTGTCTCTGTTCCGGCCTGACACCTCAACCTGTGCTGGAGAGAGTAAGGCCTCACTGGCCTGCGCCTTCGCCCAGGACCTGGAAAGTTCTTGCTTGCTGGACCAAAAGGAGGGAGAGGATTCTTCCTGTGAAAGGGAATGGCTTCATGGATCTAAGAAAAATAATTATCAGAGTGTGGAGAGACACAGTAAAACTGGGCACAAGGGCCATCAGCTCTTGGATAAGAGTAACTTGGAAAATGTGTCTGCCAAAAGAAACAGGCAGGCCCCTGTTCTTCAAACATACAAGGATTCCCGGAGCGGAGCAAACACAAAGGCAGTGAAACAAAGCCCTTGTCCTATTTCTGAGTTTTCCTGGGACAGTGAAAGGAATGACAAGGACTCCTGGAGTCACCTTTTCACACAGGATTCTCAGGGTCAGCGGGTCATTGCCCACAACTCTAGAGCTCCTTTCCGAGATGTAACCAATGACCAAAATCAGGGTTATGGGCAGGTCCCTAATAGCCCTTGGGCTCAGTGCCAGGGCAGGACCACCCAGTTCAATCTGCAGCCTGATTCACTCTTTACCCAGGACTCTGAAGGTAATCAAGTTATCAGGCACCAAGCCTAAATGTCTTTGTGAGGGTTTCGGGGCTTGTTTTAATAAAAGTACCTAGAAATGGCATGTAAGAAAGCATCTTCAGGGGGTGAGTATGTTTGAGTAGGGGAATGTAAGATCTTTGTTTCAGAAGTCTTTCAGGAGAATGATCTTTGGTAGGAGGGAGGCGTGGGATGAGGCTGTAGTTATTGAGCATTTTCTTTGTGTCAATAAAGCAGGTGGTACCACTTGTTGAGATAGTGTGATTGGCTTCATGTCTTGCCCTGATGATGAGGTGGCTGGTGAATTCCCTGCAAGAGTTGTGGTGAGCACTGAAGGGGCAGGGCAGGTACTCATCCCTCCACTAGAGCCTGCTATGCAGCCTGCACAGAGGCACCTCTTTGCCCTTATCGATGCTTCTGATTTGGAAGCTGCTGCTTATGGATGTGTGTGTTTCTAATCTTTGGCTGTAATCTTACCCACTCAACCTAAGCTTGTCACCACTATTCTCGACACTTTTTTGAGTGATGTTAGGCAATTCTCCCAGACCCAGGCATACAGGGGCAGGGAGGATAGATAGAGAAGTAGAATGATTGGGTAGTTTTGTTATTTTATTTTTGTGGTAACTTTACAGCATTTTAAGGTTATATATGTTTAAACATCTCCCTGAAAAGGGCTTATAATGAACTAAACGTGACTGTATCATTCTTCTACTACAAGGTGGGCGAGAACTCCCTTTGTAAAACTATGAATCCAAATAAACGACTATTTACAAAGCTGGCTCTGATGGTAACTAAAACATTACCAATTTCATTTTTCTGAAAAAGCAATGTTTCGTCATTGCCACGGGTCTGATCTGAACATAAATTGATTTATGTTCTATTCAAGACATCATCCACCAGGTGGCAGTTTCCCATGTTGCAGGTGTGGTACCTAGGAGGCTTAAAAAGAAGCCTCTGGGGGAAAGCGTGCAAGTTATAGGATGGACTGGCTTTAAGAAGTGTTTCTAAAGGGGACAAGAAGCTCCCTAGGGAAGAAGCTTCCTCCTATAAAGGCAGGAACCTGTTTACAAAAGCTCATATACCTTGAAATTATAGGAATTCTATACCTGTGGGGGATACTGGGTGGTCACAACTCAAGAGATGGACACAACCAACGCAGTATCTCTCCAAATCCTTCCTTTAATGTCAGGTAGTGCTTCCACCCAAACACACACAGGATACAGACTGTAGAGAAAAGGACCTGAGGGCATCTGAGTCATGCAAGGTATGGTAAGTACAAACCTTGGCCCCAGGCAAAGGGGCAGTCAAGGGCCTGGAAGATTCATCCCTTCATTTCTCTTTCCTGTTGGGCTTAAAGTCCATGGAAGAGAAAGCTTTCAATCAGTGGAACCAATGAGGCGTCAGGGCCTTGGAGGGTAGATTTGGTTGTACAGTATTACAAAATATATTTAAGAAAAAAACAGCCCAGGCCTCCCAGCAGTAGCCCAAGTCTCAGCTGGTCCAGTGGCCCAACCTCTACATGTAGGTGTTAAGACAGGGAAGGGGGAGAGAATGATTGCTGGGCATTGGTGTCAGTTCATGATGGAGCAGCATAAGATTTTCCCTGCCCTGTGAACGTGCACATACATTTATAGCCTGCTCCCCTCAGCCCTGCTCTGCTGCAAGGAAGCGGCTGAGAGTGAGTGACAGCTGGGCACAAAGTGTTTGGTGAGACCAGTTATGGGGTCTAGTGCAGTGAAGTCAGTCTTTCATTTAGGACCTACTTTCACACAGGAGAAAGGAAAAACCAGAAAGTTCTATCTCACCCTTTAAATTGAGACATTCCAATGTATATAATTACCTGTGTCTCAGCTCAAAACAGTCCTTTAGCTTTTAAGGTTTGAGTATGGAAAACATAATGCAGCTCTTCTTAGTCCAAGCTCTAGCTTTTGGCAAGACTGTTGCAGACTTCTAACTGATGGGCAGAAACATCTGCAGTGATGAAGGCAGCTACTGAAGGAATTCCAGGAGCGTGAGACTGAGTTGCAGAGCTGAGTGCTATCAGTTCCCTTTTCTACTGATATCTTCTTCCTTCAGAGCAAACTTCCTCCTTAGAACCTCAGAGATAAGAACAGCAGGATCTTCCTCCTTCAGTGAACTCCGACTCCTAGAAATAGAATAATAGCTTATGTTTATTGAGTACTTTGGTTTGTCCAGTAGTCATGTATGGATGTGAGTGATGGACTATAAAGAAAGCTGAGCACTGAAGAATTGATGCTCTTGAACTGTGGTGTTGGAGAAGACTCTTGAGAGTCCCTTGGACTGCAAGGAGATCCAACCATCCTAAAGGAGATCAGTCCTGGGTGTTCATTGGAAGGACTGATGTTGAAGCTGAAACTCCAATACTTTGGCCACCTCATGCGAAGAGCTGACTCACTGGAAAAGACCCTGTTGTTGGGAAAGATTGAGGGCAGGAGAAGGGGATAACAGAGGATGAGATGGTTGGATGGCATCACCGACTCAATGAACATGAGTTTGGGTAGGCTCCGGGAGTTGGTGATGGACAGGGAGGCCTGGCATGCTGCGGTTCATGGGGTCGCAAAGAGTCAGACATGACAAGTGACTGAACTGAACTGATTGAGTACTTACTCTGTCCTGGGCAGTGTTTTGTGTGTTGGAATACAATCTCATTTACTCTTCAAAACACTCTTATGAGGTAGAAGCTATTACAATCCTTTTTTTTACCAATGAGATTGAAGCACAGCAATGTTATGACTATGCCCAAAGTCATTAGTCAGTAAGCGATGAGTCAAGAGTTTAAAAACAAGCTTGCAGATCTCATCTTTTAACTAGACATAGTTTTACTATTTCCTTCAATGGCTATAAAATGTGGGCAAAGGATCATTAACCCGTTGGTACTGGCCTGTCGTGGCTAAGCTTCTGCTCCCACCTACTGGCTCTATCTTAACAAGCAATCCAGAATTTATAGTTAAATGTTCACATCATAAGGGACCCATGGGAGCAAAACCAGTTCCAGATTAGGGTAGATTCAAATTACCTGATAACCTCAGGTATGTTCCTGGAAAGTAGCTGCTTGAAATCCTAGTGAACTTACATACATACATACCTCATGAAAGCATTTTATTGGTCATTATGCTAGACATAAGGGCTAAGATTATTATTAAATCTCGAAAACCAAACCAAGAGGAACTGCCTCCAGTCTGACACATTTCTGAACCTTGAGGACAGGACTACTTTCCCATTCTTGGTCATCAACCCAGCTCCTTCTATCAACAAAAGGAGAAAAGATCCCAGGACATGAGTGAGAAGAAGGGCTTAGCAGTACGGGATCACAAATCTAATTGGTACAAGAGGCAAGTTTAAGAAAGTTGGAGAGTCAATCTATAAAATACCGATCAGAAGAAAGCAGCAGCAGCTGAATTTGGGAATGCTGGAGATCAAAGAATTGTAGGTCTGTATGACCAGCCTGACTAGGGACAGGTAGTAGGATCCACTACCAGCACCTTTGTCTAGTTTTCAGAAGAAAATGGGACCAGAAAACAAAAAGGGATCTTGTGTGAGGTGAGTCACCGTCTCTTTAAGAGTAACTTTATTGTTTCAGGAAGACAGCCCTCACCTCCCCAGCCCTGAAAACTCTTTTTATAAAGGCAAAAGAATTTTTGATGGCATAAAATGAATAAGCAAACAATGTACAACATCTGAGCCCTAGTTAACTCATGTGTAGCTACAGACTGATTAATCTGTTTGTAGGTTCACAGATGGTTTTGTAATTAGGACACTTAACAAAGGACAATTCTGAAATGTAAGATTTACATGTCTGCAGATACTGGCTTATTTGCATCTGTCCCAACAATTTTTTATTTTTTATTGAAGGATAATTGTTTTACAGATTTTTGCCATTTTCTGTCAAACCTCAACATGAATCAGCCATGGGTATACATATATCCCCTCTCTTTTGAACCTCCCTCCCATCTCCCCCACTATCCCACCCCTCTAGTTTGATACAGAGCCCCTGTTTGAGTTTCCTGAGCCATACAGCAAATTCCCATTGGCTATCTATTTTACATATGATAATGTAAGTTTCCGTGTTACTCTTTCCATACATCTCACCCTCTCCTCCCCTCTCCGCATGTCCATAAGTCTATTCTGTTTCTCCACTGCTGCCCTATAGATAAATTCTTCATTACCATTTTTCTAGATTTCACATATATATATGTGTTGGTTATCAGTTCAGTTGCTCAGTCATGTCCAACTCTTTGAGACCCCATGAACCACAACACGCCAGGCCTGCCCGACCATCACCAACTCCCGGAGTCCACCCAAACTCATATCCATTGAGTCAGTGATGCCATCCAGCCATCTCATCCTCTGTCGTCCCCTTCTCCTCCTGCCCAGGACCAGATGCCATGATCTTAGTTTTCTGAATGTTGAGCTTTAAGCCAACTTTTTCACTCTCCTCTTTCACTTTCATCAAAACGCTCTTTAGTTCTTCACTTTCTGCCATAAGGGTGGTGTCATCTATATATCTGAGGTTATTGATATTTCTCTGAGCAATCTTGACTCCAGCTTGTGCTTCCTCCAGCCCAGCATTTCTCATGATGTACTCTGCATATAAGTTAAATAAGTAGGGTGACAATAAACAGCCTTGACGTATTCCTTTTCCTATTTGGAACCAGTCTGTTGTTCCATGTCCAGTTCTGTTGCTTCCTGACCTGCATACAGGTTTCTCAACAGGCAGGTCAGGTGGTCTGGTATGCCCATCTCTTTCAGAATGTTCCACAGTTTACTGTGATCCACAGAGTCAAGGCTTTGGCATAGTCAATAAAGCAGAAATAGATGTTTTTCTGGAACTCTCTTACTTTTTCCATGATCCAGCGGACGTTGGCATTTTGATCTCTGGTTCTTCTACCTTTTCTAAAACCAGCTTGAACATCTGGAAGTTCACGGTTCACAACTGCTGAAGCCTGGCTTGGAGAATTTTGAGCATTACTTTGCTAGCATGTTAGATGAGTGCAACTGTGCAGTAGTTTGAGCATTCTTTGGCATTGCCTTTCTTTGGGATTAGAATGTAAACTGACCTTTTTGTCCTGTGGCCACTGCTGAGTTTTCCAAATTTGCTGACATATTGAGTGCAGATGTATGTGTTAGAATATGGTATTTCTCTCTTTCTGACTCACTACACTCTATATAATAGGTTCTAAGTTCATCCACCTCATTACAATTGACTCAAACGTGTTCTTTTTTGTGGCTAATATTCCATTGTGTATATGTACCACTTCTTTATCCATTCATCTGTAGATGGACATCTAGGTTGCTTCCGTATTCTATCTATTGTAAATAGTGCTGCAATGAACAATGGGATACATGTGTCTCTTTCAATTTTGGCTTCCTCAGGGTATATGCCTAGAAGTGGGCTTGCCAGGTCTTCTGGTGGTTTAAGGAATCTCCATACCGTCTTCCATAGTGGCTGTATCAACTTACATTCCCACCAACAGTGCAAGAGCGTTCCCTTTTCTCCACACCCTCTCCAGCATTTGTTTGTAGACTTTTTGATGAGGGCCATTCTGACTGGTGTAAGGTGATATCTCATTGTATTTCTGATTTGCATTTCTCTAATAATGAGCTATGTTGAGCATCTTTTACATGTGTTTGTTAGCCATCTGTATGTCTTCTTTGGAGAAATGTCTGTTTAGGTCTTTTCCCCACTTTTTGATTGGGTTGTTTGTTTTTCTGGCATTGAGTTGTATGAGCTGCTTGTATATTTGGAAATTGATCTTTTGTCAGTTTTATTTGCTATTATTTTCTCCCATTCTGAGGGCTGTCTTTTCACCTTGCTTATAGTCTCCTTTGCTGTGCAAAAGCTTTTAAGTTTAATCACATCCCACTTGTTTACTTCTGTTTTTATTTCCATTACTCTAGGAGGTGGGTCATAGAGGATCTTGTTGTGATTTATGTCATCGAGTGTTCTGCCTATGTTTTCCTCTAATATAGAGTTTTACAGTTTCTAGTCTTACATTTAGGTCTTTAATCTATTTTGAGTTTATCTTTGTGTATGGTGTTAGGAGGTGTTCTAATTTCATTCTTTTACATGTAGCTGTCCAGTTTTCCCAGCATCATTTATTGAAGAGGCTAAAAACAGCTTTTTAACTGCATTAAAAATACAGCTGCACACCTGGCCTCTGGACTTTGAGGTCAAGATGTCAAACATTTCAATGCCCAGGAATCTATACTTAAATAAACACTTCTGGTATGTCCCGTGCAGTAGAGAAACACTGCAAGCAGGTGACTCTCAGGCTGGAGCTCTAGGGCTTCTCTGCTAGATGAGTTTCTCATGGTAGGTATTTCCCAAATCCCCTCACACTCCCATCAGAAACACCTAGAGTTCTACTCCTTGGGTGTTCTGCTTTGCTAAGTTTAAAGTGTATTTTGAACAAACCCAAGCAATTCTGATAGGCAGCCAGGGTTAGGAACTAGGGAGTCTCAAAAGTTTGCTCGTAAATCTGTGTTTCCAGGGTTGGTTTGAATAATGGACCCCTGTTTAAAGGGAATTCTCCTTCCACCAATTAAGTCTACTTTTTTGAGATACTAAAATAACTATTATGAAACTGTACTTTGAAGGATGGGGCACAAGGACACTTATTACTAGCAGTATGAGAACCAAAGTGGTGAAGCCTTGTTGGAGGACAGAAGCTGGATTAGATGAGCCTTCTTATTAAACCTGTGTTGCCCTTTTCTCAAACTGGGGGCCTGAGGCACTAGCAAGTGGGCAGGAAGCTTTGTGGATGAAATTACACATTGCTACTAATGAGGATTTACAATGTAAGTATTTACTTTCTATTAGTAATTGGCCACAGGCAACTTAAACAATAAACAGACCATCATAGGGGACTTCCCTGGTGGTTCAGTGGCTAAGATTCTGAGGTCTCAATGCAGCGGGCCTGGGTTCAATCCCTGGTCAGGGAACTAGATCCCACATACCAAAACAAAGATCCCATACCCGGAGTGGCATAATGAAGCCCCAGCAGAGCCCCCTTTGCCCGCCCCCCAATGATCATCATAAGCTCCTTAACGCACACTTACAGGTCTTGGCTCTGCCTCACCCGGTGGAAGTCCTTCAGGATGCCCATCATATCCGCAAAGCTGCTGGCCTTGGACAGAGAGACGCAGTCATCCTCTTCAGACGAGCTGCAGGCAGCTCTGTGCTCTGGTTTGCAACACTCAGGGCTGGCAGAACAAAGCAGGGGGACTGATGGAAGCCCGGGGACCTCTACCTCGGCCTCCTCGGTGATGTCACTAATGACAAAGGAAGTTGTAGAGTGGAATGAGGATCCAAAACAAGGCAAGGGAGAGGAGACATTTGAACTTCCTGGAGATAAGAAATCTGGCGTTAATGAGGCCGAAGCTGAAAGAGAAAACAATAGGCATGGATGGACATTGGGGCTAAAATACAACAGTTACATCTCCCCACAAGCACTGCCTACCAAATATTCATTTCCTGGGCTGACACCATGACATTCTGGGTTCCTCCACTACCTTCCCCTCTCAGGATCTCAAGAAGATGTAGCAGCACTATGCTTTCTCAGTGTTCAGAAGGGCAGAAAAACCTACCCCATAAAGGCCTTGCTTCCTAAAAGCTCCCATTTTGCAGTGGGCAATGGAACGACAGCACTCTTTAGGGTGAAGCAATAGTGTAGAACCATGGCCTGAATCCGTCCTTTTCTCTAACTAGGCCAGTGCTTCTGACTGTGCTCCTTTGAATGCAGCTATCTGTGACTGGAAGAACTGTTCTACAGCAAAAAAACCAGAATGGTGATAGTTCTCCCAGTTCCCAAATTTTAATGGAGAGAATTTCCTTAATTTCTAAGTTTATAGGGAATATTTTTGGATTTCTCCTAAACTACTTCAGCATGTCTCTTGGATGATAAAAAAAAATGTAGCGAACAAATATAAATGGAAAACTCAAATCCATTTTCTTTATAAAACTGCCACATGAGGGAATTAAATACATAAAAACTTCAAAGAGAAAACCATGATTTTCACATGTCCTACCAACTGACAAGGTTTGGGAGCTATGACTTTGAGTCAATGAGTAGCAAAAAAGTGAGAATGGGAGGAATGTGAGGGTTAAACACTGAGCATCCTGGGAGAGATCCACCTGTTGGTATTTCCTGCATCTGGTCAGCCCATCCATTCCCAGTGATTCTGCCTTAACTGCACACAGAAAGACTGAAGGATAGAGAGGTGGTCTCTGGTAGAAACTCAGAGTGCAAGGAAAGGGAAAATATGCTTACAAAGGGGGTATCTCTCAGTGGTAGGGAATACTTACTTTTCATATTGAAAAGAAAAGCCACTGAGCACTCATGGAAGACATGATCTTAAAAGACATTTGGAACAGAGTTGGTTTTTGTGGCTGAGGGAGGGAATCTGCCTGGGGCCCCAGATTAAGTGAAGATTTTGTTCCTAACCCAACCAGTCTGCCCCAAATGGCTGACAGGAACCATCCAAAGATTATACAGGCTAGCCAGACTTTAGGGCAGTCCCAGAGCCCTAGACTCCAGCACCCCCGAATCAAGGACCATTTTTATCCCTATCCTGTCCAAAAGCTAAGCAAAAACAAACAGCCTGCTATTTGGTCCTGGCTAAGGGGCTCCTACCTGCATCAGCTGCCACTATTTTGGCAATCTGGGTGCGCAGGTGGCTCAGCTCATCCTGCAACTCGGTGGTGCGGCTGAGGGCTGGCAGGGCTGGCTTCTTCAGGGCCAGGAGCCTCTCCTCTGACCCACGCAGGTTGGGCACTGAGGCATTGCGCTGCATGACGATCAGAGGGCTGGGCTTCCAGGTGTGCCTCAGGGGGCGTGTATCGCTCCTGGACCAGGGAGAGAAAAGTGTCAGAGACATGGGCCAGTGCACTGCTTCCAAAATTCCTTCCTACACTCCTGCAAGAGTTATATAGCCAGAATTTCCTGGTGGTCCAGTGATTAAGAATCTGCCTGCTAATGCAGGGAACAGGGTTTCACCCCAATCTGGGAAGATTCCTCATGCTGCAGGGCAACTGAATTGTGTGCCAAACTACTGAAGTCCATGCCCCTAGAGCCCATGCTCCGCAATAAGAGAAGCCACTACAATGAGAAGCCTGCGCATAGCAACTAAGACCAAGTGCAGCCAAAAATTAAACAAATAAAGGAGATTCATCTCCTTGCTCTTTTTTTTTTTCTCATCTCCTTGCTCTTAAAAAATAAAAGTAACACAGCCAGGTTCTACTCCCACTCCTAGCTCTCACGCCTGTTGCCCTCCATCTCACTGTTCTTCTGCCTACTACCTCATCCGTGAAGCTTTTCATTCCCCAGCTGGCAGGCTACTGCCTCAGCTACCTGACCCGGGCATAAGTCTCCTCTTCATCTGCAGCAATCCAGGCGATGTCAGCCAGGGTAGGAACTGGGGGCACATCCCTCAGACACAGGTCAGAGATGTTGGGCAGGGTCTGTGGGGAAGGACAATTAATTAACATTTACTGCCATCGTGATGAGACAACTGGAAACTGGGCAAAATACATACGGGGAACATCTAATCCAGCACTGGAGGTAGGGAAGACTTCCTAAAGGATGTCCCAGTTGGAAGCAGCTTGAATAAGAGGCCAGAAGTAAGAGTCTATGAAATTACAAATAATTCAGCATGGCTGGAACAGGAAGGATAGAGTGGTGGAGAGCTGGGAGAGACTGGAAAATGAATTAGGAGCTCTGAAATAATAAGCCATTGAAAGGTCAAGTAAGTAAGGATTAGATGTGAGGTTTTAAAAGATTACTCTGGCTACAGTTTGGAGCATGGATGGGAAGGTGAAGAGAGCAGTCATAAGATTTTATTGGAAAAAAGAGTCACACTCATTAGTTTAAGTTTTACTTGTCATGGCTTTCAAGCTATAACTGCAGAAGTAAGTAGCTATAATGGAGGCCGATATGGCCCAGAGCCTAAAATATTTACTATCTGGTCCTCTGCTAACACCTGGCTAGAGCAAAATCATCTTCAGTATGACTGGCAAGAGTTACTTTTTAACAGAGATGCCCACTGTTTAGCCTTCTGGCTGTGAGAATACAGGTACAAGGACATGGACAATCTGTTATATCAACAGGAAATTTCTCCTGGCAAGCTCTTTACAACACTTTTGTAGCATACCGGGATCCACATGTTATAGCAACACTGTTAGAAGCAAAGTTGATAATTTGACTATTTAGATTTAAATGTTAAAAAATGGCTAATTATACAAAAGGAATCATAATGTAATTCCTTAAAATAGCTCCTCCACCCAAATGAACAACTAGGCAACAGGGAGATTGAGTGACACCATGTTAAATGAAAACTTAGGAAGGTTCAATTATATTCTGTTTACAACAAAGAAAAATACATGCTTAGAAAAATACAGGAAAGAACTAAAACGTGTGTCATGACTATGTGATTACAGGCAATTTGTTTCCCTTTTTTTCATAATTTAATGTTTTCATATGGGTAAATTAAAAAGTAAATCAATAAGATTCCCTTAAAAATATTTAAGGTAATCAATTTACAACAAAGGTGGTATTGCTAATACGAATTCTGCTCTGTGGGAGTCTGTGCCCTTGTTTATCTCTGCCCAGCAGCATCCAGCCAAAGAACTGGAGAGGCTATAGTCAAATGTGGGGGCAACCATGACTGACTCATGCTCCCAAACTATCCTTCCCTTTGTTCCTGATGCTTGAGGCAGCCAGGGCCACATTCAGCCTTAGGCAATAACTGATAATCGGTCAAGAGACAACACCCTGCACCAAACCCCAAACCTATTCCAATTCAGACTCCAGATAAACTCCTACACAGTTTGCAGCTCAGCATCCGATATACAAACAGCTCCTTCATTTGTTTCGCCCCAGGCCTACATCTTTTCAGGCACATATTTCTGTCTCCTTTGTGTAGGCAGAAAGCTGAAGTAGTTCTTTTGTGTTCCAGCTCCCCAAAGGAACAGACCTTAAGCCTCTAACTTGGAGCTGATGCTTAACCATTAGTTCTTACAGGGAAGCAGCTAGGACTAATAAATGCTACTTAGCTTTCCACTGCACAAGGGAGTCTTATTCATCTGGGTTAGTCTGTGCTATAGTGAACGCTAAAGGCCCCCAGGGCACAGAGGTGAGACTGAAATAGCCCAGTAAAGGAATGGCTAAACTTGGCTAGAAAAGAGAGGATGAGGAATAGACATCAGGGAAATACTGTAAGTAGGTAGCTAAGCAGGGCAAGCCTTAGGGCTGGTGAAGAAAAGCAGTTTAAGTGTTAGTCAGTTGTGTCTGACTTTTTCAGACCCCACGGACTGTAGCCCACCAGGCTCCTCTGTCCATGGGATTTCTCATGCAAGAATGCTGGGTGCCGTTTCCTTCTCCAGGGGTCTTCCTGACTCAGAGATCAGACCCGGGTCCTCCACAGTGCCGGCAGATTCTTTACTGTCTGAACCAGGGGAGCCCTGAGTGACACCATATTAAAAGAAAAGCAGACTTCATCTCAAAATCACACACAGCACTCAGTGTTCTATGAGGGGACCTGCCAGGGTTGCAGGCACACTCAGCACAGACATGGCTAGTCTGGAGATCCAATTCAGCAGGGGCCTTTGGCCTACTCTGATACACTGGATTGCTGGAGCCTGATGAAATTTGAGTTGCTTAGCAGAGGCATCAGAGATGCAAGATGATTAATTTATGAGCAGATGGGAAGCTTGATTTGTGGTCACAGGTTTGTGTGCAATCAGGAAGTTACAGTGACCAGGATACATTAAAAGCAGTTAAATATTTTTTGAAAAATGAAGACGTGATCAGGAAAGCAACCTGTCTTGGCAACGCCAAGGAGTATGGGTCACAGAAGCAGCACCACTCTTCCGTATACTCTGGGCCACTATTTTCCAGCTCACTTACCTCAAAGGATGCCCGGGGACATGGCTTCAGGGGCAAGTTGGTCCCAATTCTTCTCACTACACTTCGAGCAGCGCCATGCGGCTTATTTTGCCAGATTGGGATGGTCTAAAGCACAGAGAGACAGCCACAACCTCAGAAAAAATCCAACTGCTGTCCCCATCCTCTCCCCTACCTTCCCTTTAGCAGGAGTCAACCTTCACCTTGGCCAGATACCTAAGAGGACACATACTGTTGCTGAGGCACAGTAAATGCTGGGAGGATCCAGAGAGAAGGGTGAGGAGTTAGCTGCCCTCCCTTCCGACTACACACAGTGACAGAAACACACTGACCCCCTAACTGCCCCAATATCAATCATAGTTGGTTCTGCCTGGACGGAGGGGATGGAAGGCAGGACCCTTCAATTCCAAGCCTGGGTGGGGGAAGAATTAACTTGAGGATCTCAGAACTTCCTACAGAACTTTTAGCAGGTCTAGTGCTTAATCTTCCCCACTACACCCTTGCCCTGGGAATGCCCCTTACCACATTGGCTTCCATTCCTGACGTTTCAACTGGCTCCTGCACTTGAAGGACAAGGCAGCCACCAGGCAATGCTAGAGGCTTGGGGAGGCAGGGAGTGTGACGCCTTCATATCAGGCCATCTTAAGGAACACCAGACTTCTCTTCCTGTGAAACAACCCCACAGAAGACTCAGTGGCCACCACACAAGCCCCACAAAACCAGGCCCTACAGTGGGTGTCAGTCGCTCTGTCGTGTTTGACTCTCTGCAGCCCAGGAACTGTAGCCCACTAGGCTCCTCTGTCCATGGGATTCTCCAGGCAAGAATACTGGAGTGGGTAGCCATTCCCTTCTCCAGGGAATCTTCCCAACCCAGGGTTCAAACCCAGGTATCCCACATTGCAGGCAGATTCTTTATCATCTGAGCCACCAGAGAAGCCCATGACTAACAATGAGGCTCCTCTGACATTTCACCTGGGAGAAAACCAGCCAAAGAGGCTGCGCTCACCCAACCATGGCTTCTACAAATCCAGACCCTTAGAGGTTCTATTCCAGAGGCACCATGTGAGCTTGGCCAAAGCTGGGAACCGTCTTGAGTCCTTAGGTTTCCTGAGGCAAAACTTCTAAAAAATATGTATGTATAACTGAATCACTGTGCTATATACCCAAAATAAACATGATGTTGTAAATGAACTATACTTCAATTAAAAAAACTTTTTAAGTCGGTAAGGTAAAAACAAACTTCTAAAGATATAAGTAGAACCCTTTGGTAGATAAAAAAGCTCATGGGAAAGGCAGAGTGCAGGTGCCATCCAAGTCCAACATTCCTTCCTGAGGATAAGATGTAAAAAGTCCAGTATGTGCCACCCAGCCTAGCACTGCTGGGCCACTATAACGGGCAGATGTAAAACAGACAATGGGAGAAAGAAGCCAGTCTAGCCGAACTCAGTCTAACAGGCTACTGGGGAAGAGCCAAAACTTTTTATCCTGGCTCAGCCTTCAACTGGCTTAATAGCCTTAGGCAAGTTACTTAACCTTTCAGAATGTAGTTTCTCTATCTGTAAGAAGACAGGAAGAGCTGCCGCTCAGGGTTATCCAGAGGGTCAATGAGTGAAATAAGATTTTAAAGTGCTTAATGAACTGCTGAAACAAGGCACAGATGAGCGGATTCCTCACAGCTGTCCTTGCATGGTGAACATTTGCAGTCAATGAACTCATTCAGTCCCTTGTTCATCAAACACTTAATACTCACTGTGCCAGGACCTATGCTGGGCACTGTAGGGGCTATGGAAAGAGTAAGACACAGCCACGCTCTCAAGGAACTCACAATCTAGAAGAGAGGCAGGACCCGAATACCTAATTCTACCAGAGGCTGAATATCACTGTCTAAGAAAGGCACATAAGGCAGCTGGCCAGGTGAGTTCAGTCCCCTGGCCCCACGGCCCCATAGTGAGTTCAGAGGGGCTAAAAAGGGAAAGAAAACAGCAACAATAGCACAGGTCTAGGAAAAGAAGGTGAAGAGATGTATAAAGAGCGGAGTATATTAAGGCCATAAAGGTGGGGGAGGGGGGCGGAGCGCATGTCAGGTAATGGTCAGGTCTCGAGGGCTGGGCATGTTCTAGGTAAGGAGTCAGTGCAGAGCCAAGAGCAGCCTCTGAAGAGGGGATGGGCCGGACTAATCAGCTCTTTCTAGAAATCTCCCTTGGAAGGTCTCTCTTCCCCTCTAGGAGAGGAGGTATTACTCTGCGATACATGAGGAAAGGAGGCTAGGAGAGGGGAAGTTACTGGTTTAAGGTCACTTAGTGGCCATGGCAGTGGAAAGCATCCAAGTCTGGTCCAGATCCTCCTGCCTCCAACATGGGTTCCATCTTCTCAGCAAAGCTCAAGACTTTTATAAAAGTCCTTCAGCGTGCCAGGCTCTATGCTGACTGTCAGTGCCTGCCACAGCTCCACAAGACAGTACTTCCCTGTGTTTCTCACTTTAGTGGCTGCAGTCACTACCTCTCCAAACTTACCTCCAAACTCAGTTAGGCCTAATCCTCACGTGGCAACCAGAGGTCTCTTTTTAGGACACATTGGGAATAGATCCCTGCCAAGCTTCAACCTCTCATGCTTCCTAGAGCCAAGAAGATAACACCAAGACTCTTCAGCATGGCCAGCAGGCCCTCCCTGTCTTTCTCTCCCAGCCGACAAGGCCTGTCCACTCTGGTCCCTGCACGCTTCACCACACCTGCCTTCCCCTGCCCTCCACCCACACTGGCCTTGTCTACTATATTCCCTCTGCTCGAAACCCTACCAGCCTCTTCACCAAGCTCATCCTCAATTACTCCTGGAGCTCAGCTGAAGCACTGCCTCCCCTTTTCGGACCGGCGCCCCGCGTTTCCTCCGGAGCAGCAGTAACTAGATAACGGGTGTAGCTCGTGCAGTTTGTCCGAAGGGCGGGTACTTCCAGGTACAGCCCTGAGCCCGCCCCGTACCCGGCTGGCACTCGAGCATTTGTTAAGAAACGAACCAACAAGAACGCCGACTTAGCCTTGAACCCTGCACAAGTGTCTGGCTAGAAGATTCCCCACGGCTCGCTGGCCGCGCGCCTGGTTCCCACCACCTCCGAGCCCGACTGCCCTTTCCGGGGCTGCTGTCCCCGTGTTTTTTACACACGGTCCCCCAGCGCCTCTCGAGCGGGGCCTGGCAGCATCAACCCGGTCCCCGCCGAGGCCGCCGCGCTCTGCGCCGTTCTGGCCCGGGGGAGGGGGAGACGCCGCGGGGACCTTTATCCAGGACATGCCTCCCCTCCCCCTGCAACAGCCCGACCCGACGGGGTCAAGGTCGGCCAAGTTCTCGCCGCGGCTCGGTGTGGGGGGGCGCCCATGGACTCAAAGGCCCGGCGCCGGGTCCCGGAGGAAGCGAGGAGGCGGCCGAAACGAGAAGCCTCTGGTGCGGCTGGGTGACTCGGGCGAGAAACTGCCCCCCGGGGACTCAGTTTCCCCTCAGCAGAGTGTGGCGGACAACACGAGTTCCCGCGAGAACCGGCGCGGGCCCAGTAGCCGCGGGCAGCGCCCGGCACTCGGCCTCGCGACAGGCCGGGCCGGAGGGCAGCGCTCCCGCTCGCGTTCCCGCCCCGGGGCGGCAGTCGGACCTAGTCTCACCTCAAACTGCGCCTCCGGATTCACTCACCTCACGGCCCCTCCTACCACAGCGGGCCGCCCAGCCTCCCTCGCCCTCACTTCCGCTGACCCACCCCCCGGAAGCGATCTCTTGCAGCTGCGCACCGAGCCGCGGCAGCACGCGTCTTCCGGAAGCGGCCCTGCTGGGGGCGAGGCGAGAGAGGATCCTGCGGCGCTGAGGCGGGGCGGTAGAGGGGATACGCCTACTATAGGCCACGCCCCCTCCTGGGGAAAAAGTTGATGGTGCCCGGAAACCCCTGAGGTCAGCCGGCTCTTTCCCAGTCTCCACGCTTAGTCCCGATCCAACCTTTGGGAGGCATCTGTGTTGCTATTCGGCCTCCAGATTGATCGGTGTCTGCTGTCCCCACCTCGACTACAAACTTCAGAAGCTTCGCGCTGGTGTTCAAGGCTCCAGACTTAGTGCTTGCCCCCCCTCATCTCACTCTGGTTCCTTCAGTTTATTATTTTTTGGGTAAATTAATTTATTTTAATTGGAGGCTAGTTACTTTACAATATTGTAGTGGTTTTCGCCATACATTCACATGAATCAGCCATGGGTGTACATGTGTCTCCCATCGTGAACCCCCCTCCCACCTCCCTCTGATTCCTTCAGTTTATGCTTCCCAGCCAAGACCCTCTACAGTCTTCTCTGCACCAAGAATGAGCCTCTTTCTCCTCTTGACTCTCGCCCTCCAGTGCTTTGTAGCTTTCTTCTATTTTAGCCGTTGGTATCACACACTCCTACCCACTCCGGTATATTGAGTTGGTTGGTCAGATGGGTAGACTGAGAAGCGAGACTCCAGAGGCCTTACAAAAGAGATCCACATTCCTCCCAGGCTCACTCACCCACTCTGTTTTTGTGCTCAACACCCCAGAGTCCTGGTCACCATGGCATCCAGGCCTGGGTCACATGTTCTCCTCTGACTTCAGTAAGTGACTCTGCCTGGCTCCCAGGCTGTTCTTCCGTCTCAAAGCTTGAAAGTCCTAGCTGTCAGGGACAGATGGGCTTCATGGTGGGGAGAATCTGTGCTGTCACACAGGCCTGGTGGTCAGACAAACTCCTTCTTGCTTTAATGCCCTATTGTTGCTCTCTTTAAATTAACAAATTTTTTTTTCAACAAGGGCCCTGCATTTTCATTTTGCACTGGACCCTGCAAACTATGTAGCTGGTCCTAGTCAGAGACTGTATCCTCCCTGATTCCCGCCATACTGCAAATGATGAAATTTGACTTCCAGGTACAGCCCTCTTTCCAGGATGACAAATTTGCTTTAATCATCGCTTTCCCATCCTGGGCAATGGCAGATCTTATGAATCCACCCTAGTTGCCTTTCTTTGGATGTGGTAGTGCAGTCTTTGTTTTTCCCGAAGATCCCTTTTACCTAGCACATGATTCTATCCCCCAGCAGCTGTGCTGGCTGCTCACAGCTGCCCCATTCTCAGAATGGAAGCTCTAACCAAAAAAGTTACTCTACCTCTAAGAGCCTAGGAGTGACTGAAACAAGAGGCCAGTTCAATCTGGCGGTATGGTTTATGCTCTAGAGCCTTGCTCCTGTGATCTGATCAAGGTTTGGCTTTCAGATTCTATTCCTGCATAAGGGTCTTTCTTTCCCCCTTTCTTCTTCAATCCTTCTTTTACAGGTTTTTCCTTAAGTTCACACCCTCAAAAAAAAAAAAAATTACCTAATGCTTATCTCCAGAGAAGGCAATGGCACCCTACTCTTGCCTGGAAAATCCCATGGATGGAGGAGCCTGGTAGGCTGCGGTCCATGGGGTCGCTAAGTGTCGGATGCGACTGAGCAACTTCACTCACTTTTCACTTTCATGCATTGGAGAAGGAAATGGCAACCCACTCCAGTGTTCTTGCCTGGAGAATCCCAGGGACGGGGGAGCCTGGTGGGCTGACATCTATGGGGTCGCCCAGAGTCGGACACGACTGACGTGACTTAGCAGCAGCAATGCTTATCTCAGGCTCTTCTTCTAAGATGATGGATTTAACTTCAGAATCTTTCTCAACAACGAACACCAGATTCTAAAAACAGTAAGTTCTCTAGGTCTATCACAAATTTATTTTAAGCAAGTTACTCGAGCCTTCTGGTGACAAACTAGTCCCCAAAGGCATTCCAGTCATGCTCCCTTGCCCATCTGCCAACTCCAGCAAAAGTTGTTGTTCAGTCACTAATTTGGCTCTTTGCAACCCCACGGACTATAGCATGCCAGCCTCCTCTGTCTTTCTAGTGATTCATGTCCACTGAGTCAGTGATGCCATCTCATCCTCTGCCGTCCCCTTCTCTTTTTGCCTTCAATCTTTCCCAGCATCAGGGTCTTTTCCAATGAGTCCATTCTTTGCATCAGGTTGCCAAAGTATTGAAGCTTTACCTTCAGTATCAGTCCTTCCAATGAATATTCAGGGTTGGTTTCCTTTAGGGTTGAGTGAGCTGATCTTGCAGTCCAAGGGCCTCTCAATTCAAAAGTATCAGTTCTCCAGCAGAGGAGTGAGATGGAGAAGAGAAGAGAACAACATCCCACTCAAAGGAAAGGCACTTAGAACCACCCTAATCTCTTCAATTTTATTATAGGACACACTGGGGACAGAGGAGGGAAGTGGAGGAGGGTGACAAGAGGGCAGCTGCGGGCCTCCCCCACCATGAGCCTTTGAGCACAGTCGGGGGTCAGGCAGAGGCATCAGGAGAGGATGCAGGAAGTGCAAGCGTTACTTTCCATGGGACAAGGATCCCTCATCATGGCGCTGGCCTTCTTAGCCCAGCATGAGGGGGGAGAGCCTGCTGGGTGGGAGGGCTGAGTGCTGATGCCAGGTGGCTAGTGGGACGGGCTACTGCCACCCATGCCTGGAAGCACTGAGACACGTTTAGTGCCCTCCCTCCCTGTAAGCGGCGTGAAAGCACTGGCTCCCAGGAGGGACACAAAGAACCCGGCCACGCTTGCCGGCTCATGCCCCATTTGCTCTAGAGAAGGCAGGGGAACCCGATGTTTTGGTTTGAAAGGCTTTCTTTTTTGCCTCAGTGAAACAGGCAGGGGAGAGAGGTGGGAGGGACAAGACCAAACACTCCCAACATCAAGACACAGTCAACTCTACCACTGAGTCACCTTGGGCAAGTCACTTCACTTTCCTGAGACTCGGCTCCTTCATCTACAAAATGGGAATGATGACTATCCGCCTTGTGTCCTTTGTTGTGAGGAGCAAATGAGAAAATAATGTCATCTTAACAGAGTGCCTTAGATAGAAAGCTCTCAGTAACTAGCTGTTATCGTGATGCGTGATATAACATCAAGAACAAGACCGTGATGAGGAAGGCTCAGTGTGGAAACTCTAGTGGGCAGGGGAACTCAGCAGGTGGGAGGCCGGGGAGTGCATCTGAGGAGATGTTTGCCTTCCTTCCCCTTTCAGGGTGAAGAGGGAGCCCCTCAACCCCAGTGGGGCGGGGGCGGGGCACATGTAGGGGTGGGGAGGGGCCTTCGTGAAAGCCCCAGGGCTCCTCAAGGGCCCGAGTGGAGGATAAGGATACAGTTGGGGGTATACGGACCCCCTGGGGGCTATTTTTTAAAAGTTGGTCGAGAAGAAGGAAGAGAGGGGGATGTTTCTTCCCACAGCAGCAACTGCAAAGACATCAAGCTGGATCCACCTAAGCTTTCAGATCCAGCCATCATGGGGCGGCTGCTGGGGGGACACCATCGCCCCCTTCTTTCTCCTCAGGGCAGGGGCTATCAAAAATACATATAAACTGTGAGAAAGTTCACATAAAAACGCTTTCTGCATGTATAAAAAAAAGAAAACAAAAAGACTGGCCGTGGTCAGTGGCTCGGGATGTGGACTCAGAGCGGCCAAGGGGAGTTAGTGGCCACCCAGTGGGAGACAACCTGGTCTGGGCTGCCTGACAGCTGGGACAGCGCCTGCTCTGGGGGAGGCTGCATTCTTTGGGCGATGTTTCTGTGGAGCTGAGGTCTGGGGTGGGGGGGTGTTATGGAGACACTGGCTCCGTGTGTCTCGCTGTGACCCATGCTGGGGTAGGCCGGAGGGGAAGCTGAGGCCCTTGACCTCAGTGGGCTCCTTGTCAAGGGCAGAAGCTTCCTTCACAGAAAACCTCCCAGAGAGCAGGCCTCCAGGAAGTCCTGAAATAGGTTCTGGGGTCCTTCCGTCAGATTGGATTGAGTGTTCTGGAGAATAGCAGGGGTACAGTATGATTCCCCCTTCTGAAGGAGGGTTCTGCCCAGAGCTTCTGGAAGGCTGACGTCACCTGGGGGGCGGGGGGCGGACACCAGGCGCAGGAGGGCAGCCAGGCAGGCCTCTGGCCTGGAAGAAGGCTCCAGACAAACAGGAGTGCTTCCGTGGCAGCCTCCCCTGACCCCAGGCCAAGGCTTCTTGATGTCTCTTTTGGAAGGGGTGAAGGTAGGGGAGGGGGTGGCCCTGTCTTTCTAGCACCCATTTTTCCTTACTGTTTGCCCTGCAAGGGCTGGGACTATGTGCCTGAGTGGCAGAGGTCCAGGGAGATGACCGCAGGCCATCTCCTTCGGGGTCCCAAGCAGCTTCCAGAACCAGGAATGCAGTTAAAGACTGGTGGTGGCAGCCAGCGCTCAAGGTCGGCCTAGGACCCCCTGTCCACCCACCTCCGAGGCAAAGCTCGGATGGCCGCCATTAGCTGACCCCGGTCCCCACGGGCAGCCTGAGAGGCGGAGCGGGAGGGCTTGGTGCGTGACACATGGGAAGGCTGCTCTGGAGCTCCCCGGAGGAGAGGCCTGTCCAGCTCCCTGTCCAGCTGCTGTCTCACCGGCAGGCAGGCTCACTAGGGCTGGAGGAGGGGCAGGCCGCGCCGGAGGCCCTCCTTCAGGAACTGCATGTAGGTGGCCGTGGACGGGTCTTCAAAGGTGGACGAGAAGCTGAAGACGTGGTTCTCAATGTCCTCGGGCTTCATGGAGGTGATGTCCAAGAAGTAGTTGGCGTTGATGTGGTGGACCTGCGAGAAGAGCTGGGTGAGGAGAGCGGGGGTGGGGGACTGGTGCCCCCTTTGGCCTCGACATTCCTCGTCTGGGCAGATGATGGGCAGGCCGGGCAGCTGTGAGTGCTGCCGGAACCCGTTCCCCCTCCTCCTCCACTCACAGGCCTCTCTGCCTTCTGGGCTCCACACCTCGCCCACCAGGTGAGACCTAAGGCCTTTCAATATCACCTTTTCTCACCACCCCCCACCTTGTGCCCTTGACCCTCTCGTCTCTGATCCCATAACCCCTGAAATCCATACTCACTTCTGTCAAAATACCTGCATGCCCAGGCCTGTGTCCCCATCAGCCTCCCACTCCAGCTCGTGAGCACCTTAAGGGCAGGTGCCCAGTAAACGAACGGGAGAGTGCAAGGCACCCACAGCCCAGGCAGAGTCCTGTCTGCCCAGCTCCGCCACCCGGGGCCCTGCTGGGCTGGGTCCACCAAGGGGGTCGTCCGTGGACCGGTGTGAGCTGGCTGGTACCCCAAGGCCTTCCCTTCTCTGAGCCTGAGACAGAAGCTTCCCTGATGGCTTAGCTGGTAAAGCATCTGCCTACAATGCAGAAGACCCCGTCTGATCCCTGGGTTGGGACGATCCCCTGGAGAAGGGAGTGGAAAGCCACTCCTTGCCTGGAGGACCCTGGCAAGGGCTACTGTCCTTGGGGTCGCAGAGTCGGACACGACTGAGGGACTGATGCTCGGGGCCAACCCAGCTCTCGCCCCTGCGCTGCTCCCCACCTGCTGACCTCCCACCCTGCCCACCCCCCAGGACTGAAAGAAGAAGGAGTAGCTTTGCTCAGAAGAGCAAGCGATGCTGAGGCTCACAGGTGGGCGCCTGTTTTCAGAGCCAGCTATGCTTCCTTGTGCAGCTTTTGCCACGTCTCTGAACCTTTCTGAGCCGCAGCTTGTAAAAATCAGCATTTGTGATCATCAATCTCGCAAAGCTTCAGTGCAATCCCACTCGAGGATGTGAGTGAGTGCTGTGTCAGGGGCGCTTAGGGACAGTGGGGGTCCTGCCTCAGCCTGGGGTGGCATCAGGTCCTTTCTGCTGTCACAAGGCCTGCCACCTGCCACCCCCCATCCCTTCCACCCCAGGGCTGGCTGCAATGGTCTGAGGTGAGACTTCCCTTCTGGGTCCCATTCCTGTCCACTCTGCTGTTAGACTGTGCCTGCCACTGCCCACTGTGCCCCAGAGTGCTGCTGAGGTCCCCGTTCTGAGGGAAGGTCCCGACACCTGCACAGGCAGGCCGAGGGGACACCCGGGGATAACTGAGGCTCGGACAGGGGGTGGCAGAGCCAGACGGGGATGATGAGGTCTGTAAGTCACGGCCCTGGCCGCTGCTTCCCCTGCCTGAGGCCGAGGCCGGGTGGCGGGGGCCTACCACGGTGCCGTTGGGCAGGCAGATCATCATCTCCACGGGGAAGCTGTACTTCTCCAGGTGCAGGCCAGCCAGCTGCCGGTGGGATGGGTTCTCCTGGTTGTTCTGCGGGGATAGTTGGGCATGCTCCTGCCGCCTGGGCTCCACTGTCCCAGGGGCTCCCGTGGCGCTCTTCCCACCCACCTGCCGCTCACCTGCAGGTCCTCCAGCTCCTTCACCAGGGACCAGGTGCTGATGAAGCTCTCGTTGAGGAGGGCGAGGATGGGCGAACTTTCCAGGACGGTCTCCCGGAGAGTCCGCCCCGAACCTGTTCGGGGAGAAGCAAGGTCAGGCACCCCACATGTCTCACTGGGTTTTCAATCAGCAGGAAACCTCAGGGATTACAGAATACTCTGTGCACCCAGGTGAAATAACAGTGATTCAAACAGTGCCACAGAAGACGTACTGAATATCTGGTAGCTGTAATTAACATCAGTAATATACTGGCATCCTGGGCTGAGACACCTGGCCCAGGGGCTTGCAGACACTGACAGCTTCTTAAATCCACTCAATGCTGCCCCAGGGCCTTTGCACAGACTATCTTTCTATTTATCTAAAACACTTCCTCCTGTCACCTGACAAACTCTTAATCATCTTTCAGAGTCTCAGCTTGTGTCACTCTTTCAAATAAGCCTTCCCTGACCCCCCAGTTACACACTCGTGTGCCACTCTGGACCTTGCCTTGTGTAAACCTGCCACACTTGTAGTGTCTGCCTTCTGCTCACACTGTGTGCTCCCTGAGTCCAGGGACCGCTTCTGACTTCCTCAGTGCAGGACGCCCAGCATCTAGCCTACAGCTAGGCACAGGAGGGATCCAGGATGTTTCTCGACTGGCTGGACGAGGGCAGGGGCACTGTTTGCTCCTCTTTGTACCCGTCGTCAGGCACCCAGAGAACTTTGCACCGGGGGTCTTTGGTGTATTTTCTGATTAAGTGAAAAGTGTCCAGGCTTTGCCACTATTTTTCTCTCACTTGTGTGCAACACTTCCCAGAGCATGGGCACTTTCACATCTGTTTTCACAACGGTGGGAGGTAAGTATGTTATCCTCTTATTGCTGAGAAAACTGAGGTCTAGCAAGGAAAATTACTCTGCCAAAGTCTCCTGGCTGAAGGTGGCAGAGCTGGGCTCCTTCTCTGGAGTCCAGCAGCTTCCTCGGAGCTCAGCACAGCATCCCAGTGCCCTCACCCCACCTCCCCGCCCCACACTGTCCTCAAGCAACCTCATGCTCTGATAGCAGAGTCCTGTGGTCTCAGAGCCTCCTGCACCCATGAGGAGTGACGCCTCCCCCCACTCTCCCTTCGGACTGGCGGGGTCTCCTCACCTCAGCAGGACTGGTCGTCCAGGGCCCCCCACAGCAGGATTGAGTGCACCAGCTTGTTCTTGGCCTTGGCTTGGTCAAAGGCCTCGGTGAATGGCAGGTAGGTGACCTGGGGCCAAGTCGGGACAGAGAGAAGCTATTGTGTGTGGCCAGGGTCCCACTGCAGGGGCTGAGTGTATGATGTGCATGTAGGTGTGTGTGTTTGTAGTGGATATAGGTGTGTGTATGTATGCACACGTATGGATATGTGTGTACATATGCATGTATGTTTGTTGCATGTGTGTGATGCTAAGCCAAGGGATGGCTCCTCCAAGTTCTGAAGGACAAAGGGGAGGCTCCCCGGCCCAGGCGGAGCCCCACAGGGAGGCAGCCGCAGCCCCAAGCCCTGCATGGTGCCCAGTGCCCACCTGCTGCTCCTCAGCTCTCATCCCGTCCCTGCCTGTGCCCGCTGCCCCGCCTCACCTTCTTGAAGGGGTACATGGCAACCTCCAGGCGCCGGGCTGCTTCCTCCCAGCTCAGCTCCTGCTGCCACTGGATCTCCTCAAACACAAACTGGAGGGGCTCCCCTGAGGGCAGGCGGCTGTCGATCAGGTTGCCATCCTCGTCCAGGATCACGGAGGGCACCGAGGGGCCCAGCGCCTCCAGCTCCATCTGGGCCAGGGGTCAGTGAGGGATGTCTCAGTGAGGGGCAAGAGTCCGCCAGGGGCCCCGAGAGACCCTCAGAGATACGCCACTCATCGCAGAGGGGGGGAGTCAGGCCCAGGGCGGGGCAGGCCCGGTCAAGGCTGTGCAGTGAGTCCGGGACAGAGCCCACTGTCCAGCCAGGGCTCCACCGCGGGAAGCCGGCGGAGGGCCCACGGCAGATGCTGGACTCTGCGTGCAGGAATGCGTGTCTTCCCAGGATCCCGCTTTGCCTGCCGGGAGCTCTGTCATTCCCTAGCCAGCTGGGTCCCCCTGCAGCCAGGCCGAGAGACCCTGAGGCAGGGCCCTGCCGCCAAGGCCCGCCTTCTGACCGGGGGCTTCCCAGGTGGCTCAGTGGTAAAGAACCCGCCTGCCAATGCAGGAGATGCAGGAGACCCAGGTTTGATCCCTGGGTCTAGTAGATCTCCTGGAAGAGGAAATGGCAACCCACTCCAGTATTCATGCCTGGGAAATCCCATGGACAGAGGAGCCCAGTGGGCTATATAGTCCATGGGGTTGCAAAGAATCGGACACGACTAGGACTAACCACGTAAGAGGACCGCCTGTGCGCCCACCTGGGGTATGTAGCCGATGTCCACCTCCATGTTGCTGCCCTCGCTGGCCCCGTACAGCCACTCCATGTCCACATTCAGAGACCTGGGGACAGGGGAGAGGGCGCCAGGGCACAACACCATCATCAAAGCCCGTCAGACACCAGACTTTATCTCACTGAAAGCCCGCCACTGGCCCCATTTTATAGATGAGGACGCTGAGACTCAGCAGGGTGAACCCAAGGTCTCAGAGCCACTGGGATGCTGATGGCAGAGCCTGGGACCTTTTCTCTCCCCAGGCTGCCTCTTCTAAAGGCACTAGGACCACACCACCCTCCACCGACCCAGGCCTTTACAGTTTACAAAGGGCTTCCACATCCATGGCTCACGCACTGCCCGTGACCCATGACTCTTAGAGGCAGCGGCCATCAGTGCCTCGCTCAGCACCTCGAGGGGGGCAGGATTAAAAAACGGGTACTTTCTCCACTGTCTCCAGTGGGAAGTCTGGCCTGATCATGTGCAACCTGCAGATCTACCACATGAGGGCGCCACAGGACAGGCTACCAGCCACTTTGGGCCGGTGAAGCAGGCAGGGTGAGCTCAGAGCAAGCGATAGGCCTGGGATGCCAGGGCCATCCCTGGAGTGGTTGCCCCCTGCTCCTTCTGTTTCATCCAATCCAGGCCCCCACCTCCACCCCTGGGCTGGGGGCAGACGTGCCCTGGGCTGAGCCCCCGCAGCACAGGGACGTGCCTGCTGAGCAAGGGAGAGGATGAGGGCTTGTCCTTCCTCATCCTTTTCCCACGGAGCTGGAGCCCCTGGGCCCCTCGTTGCCCTCGGTAACCCTGAACGAGGGTGGCAGGTCGCTTCTGGTCCTGGGTTCTCTTCCAGGCTGTCCTGGCAACCCTCTCACTCCTGCCTAGGACCTAGCCACCCATCTAGCAGATGAGGAAACTGAGGCCTGGAGGGAGCCAGGGCCTTGCCCACAGCCACTGGTGCCACAGCTGAGACTTAGCTCTGGGCCACTCGGCTCCCAGCCTGGGTACCGTCCTGGTAAAGAGTCATTCAGGCCCCCCGGAGCGGCCGCTTGCTATCTGGGACAAAGCTGGAAAGGCTCTGCATCTCCTCTTCCCGACAAGAGGCTGACCCTGGGCAGGCAGGCAGGCAGGCAGGTGGCTGGCATCGAGCCCTTCCAGAAGCCTCCCCCAGTCCCCACCCAGGGTCTGGGTTAGCAACTGCAGGCATGGAGGGTCTGCCCCTTAGGTCTCTGCATGTGCTGTTCCCTCTGCCCAGCTAAACTCTCCTCAGCCCCCAGGTCACTGAGCAGATGTCCCTTCCTTTGGGAAGGCTTCCTGCCCCCCCCACCAGTCAGGTCCCTGCCCACCTGCCAGCCTTTCCCTAGGGTGCCAGGGCAAGGTGTGGTCACGGGTCTGCCAGCAGGTTGAGCAGGGGGGTGCTCCAGCTTCAGGGAGGGGCTGCGGGTTGCTGCCTTGGGTCCCAGTGCAGAGCTGGCTGGTCACTCCATCATCCCATAAGCGTGTCCCAGGCGCTGCCTGGGATGACGGAATGACCACCTCCCTGCCCACAGACCACCTCATACTGCCTCCTCCGAGGTCAGCGCCAGGTGCCTCCCAAGAGAAGGGGCTCTGGGGAGAGACTGAGGGGGGCTGAGCTCCGGGAGCTGGTGGGGGGCACACGGGAGCAGGACGCTGGGGTGGGATGGAGGCTCTCACCTGTGGTTGGGCACGAAGAGCCGGAAGTCGCGGACGTGGGTGGCGTCTTTGGAGAGGATGATGTGGCCGGTGAACTGGCCGGGGGAGAACCAGAAGGGGAAGTCGGGGGGCTCGCTGAGCTGGAACTCGGCATGGATGCTGGAGGGAAAGGGCCCGGCTGGGAGGGGGTCCCCTGGCCGAGCAGAGCTTGCCTGCCCGCCCCCTTCTGCCCCAAAGCCTGGAACCCACACAGGGCCGGCCAGACTCTGGGTGGGGCAGAGGGCTGGGTGGGGGCAGAGTGTGTGGGGCAGGGAGAAGGGAGGCCCTCAAGGCGCTGCCCTACCCTTCAGGGCCCGGTTTCCATGCTGCCTTCCCTGGAAGCCTAGCTGACCCTCCTCTGAGCTCTCACAGCCTCTCCAGGGGCTGCGTGACCTGGTGTCACAGCTCTTATGCACCCCCTTCCACGTGGATGACAGTCAACGGCCATCAGCCCTGTGCTAAAGCACACTCAGCACCTTTTTCCTTCCTCTTGGAGGAAGTCACCCCCTCCCTGGTGCGCGAGGAGGAACGTGAGGCTCAGAGAGCAAAGCTGCTTGGCCAGGCCCGCAGGGCGGTAAGCTGTGGTGATGGTGGTGCGGGCGTCAGGCCCTGGCTCCCGCAGCTGTACCCTTCCGTGCTGCCCTGGAATCCCAGGCCCAGGAAAAGCAGGGACGGGGCTGCCAGGACCCCTCACCGGAACATCACGGTGTAATAGAAGTCGCTGATGGCGGTCAGGCAGGCCACGGCCCCCTGAGGGGCAAAGCGGGTCTTCACGAAGGGCCGCGGGTGGAACATGCTCAGGAGCCGATGGATGATGACCTATGGAGGGGCCAGTGGGACCCGGGGTTGGCTTCCAGGGCCCGACTCCCCTGGGTGGGTGTTGGCCCTGGACCAGGGGTGGGGTCAGACGGAGGCAGGAGCGCAGGGGGTTAGGCCGGTGGCCTTGGGGTCCAGGTGCAGGGCTGGGGCATGGGGCCCCGGGGCTGCCCTCACCTCCTTGCCCTTGGGCGGGGCTGCCCTCACCTCCTTGCCCTTGGGCGGCGGTGGGTAGAAGCGGTTGTTGGACAGGTAGCCGGTGAAGACACTCAACTCACTGGGGATGATCCACCAGGGCTCGCCCAGCTCCACGTGGCCCCGGGGCGGGAGGAAGGGCCGGAAGTGGCGGGCGGCAAACACAGCGCTCGGCAAGGCTGCCGTCGTCCAGTTGCGGAGGCCGGACAGGGCCAGGCGGGAGACCTGGGGCAGGGGGACCGTCAGCGTTCCGGGGCACTGAGAACCTCCCAGGCTGCCTGGAGGTCTCCTCGAGCCCTGAGCCAACCCACAAACCCGGGAAACAGAGGCCCTGGGAGGCGCCTGCTCTGGTCAGGACGGGGTGAGCATGGCTGGTACCGTCCTGCCAGAGCTGAGGCTCACTTTGCCTCCCCAGCTCCCAGCCTGAGAAGTGGTGCCCCTGTGGCCCCTCGGGTCCAGCCCAGGCCAGACACCTCTTGTGAAGACAAGGGAATCGAGGCAGCAGGAGGGGTCGCCTAGGACTGGAACCACCTCTTCCCGCTCTCAAAGTCCAGGTCCCACTTCCCTCTTGTGCATAAGCCAGCAGACCAACCCCGGGTGCCCACGCCCCGCCCTGGGCTTCCTCACCCCCTCCACCTGCCCTGCTTTCTGCTCTCTAAGCTCCCCCTCCAAGTCTCCTCCCTGCAGCCAACGTCCTGGGTGACAAGAATTCAGGTGTCTGTGGAGGGAGCAGCAGCCACCTTTCGGTGGAATCTCTAGGGTCAAGGGCAGGATGAGACCACAGAGGAGGGGGAGGAAGGGCACCCCTGCTTCAGGCGTGGCCTGGGCCATGCTGGCTGGGCACCCCGGGCAGGAGGAGGCGGGTCAGACCCTGTGCAGGCCTAGAGCTGGAGGCAGCCCTGGACCACGCGGGTCCCCTGCTCAGAGCCCCACCTTCAGTGGCTCTTCCCTGCCCTTACCGGTCCCCAGTGGCAGCCGCCACAACAGTGGGTGCCTGGCCCCACGCAGGGGTCCTCAGCAGCCAGGGAGCTGTCCCACCTTTGACGGTAGCCAGTCCCCTCCTCCACCTCCCTGGTGAGTGGATCTGGGCTCATTGAGACTTGGAGAGGGGGGACTTGGGGAGCAGAGAACAGGGCAGGCAGAGAGGGTGAGGAAGCCCAGGGTGGGGTAGGGGCACCCGGAGTTGGTCTGAAGGCTTATGCACGAGCTGAGGCGGGCAAAGGGGAGTTCTCAAAGAGGCTCACAGGCAGCTTCTCAAAGCAGGGCTGGCTGAGCGGGGCCCGGCGGAGCCTGTCTGCCTGCTGGTCCTGTTCACAGGCTGCGGCGCTCTTGGGAAGCGGCTCATAAGGAGGGCCTGAGCTAGGGAGGCAGGGCTGGGGTGCTTTTCCAGACCCTACCTCCCCTATCAGCACAGATGGGCCCCTGCACCTGTTCTCTCCGCTCGGTGGGAGGGACTCACGCTCAGACACGACTCCAGCCCATCACTGGCGAATCTCCTCCACCCAGACCTTACTGGACTCTCCCCCTGGACGTCCTCAGGGACCTCAACTCCAGCAGTCCAAACTGACCCTATACCTTCCCTACCAGACCCGCGCCCCTCCTCCAGCCCCCATCAAGTGATGGGTTCCCCCATGCGCCTGACCACCAGCTAGAAACCTGAGATACCCCAACCACCCCTCTCCATCCCATTCCTTTAGTAGCCAGGCCCTGCCTTTCTTCCCTCCCCCGCATCCCCCAGGCTGTCCTTCTTTTCCATCACCAAGGCCTCCCCTTCCCCCTTCCTGTCTTCCCATCCCTCCTGGGAACTGGCCTTCCCTCCCATTTCTCCCCAGCTGTCAGCCTGGAAAGCCTAGATCTGATGAGGGATGTCTCCAAAAACTATGGTATTTAGCTGCTGCAGGATGAAGGCCAAAGTCAGGCAGCTGAGCCCCTGGGCCATCAGGCAGCTTCTCTTTTGGTCCCACTGATGGGGATGCCCCGTATGTGTCCCCTGTGCCCGGGGTCCAGCCACCCCCTCTTTCTGCCCCTGGGGTCCTGCCAGGCATCTCCTGCCTTCAGGCCTTTGTTGGTGCTGAAGTGATGGTTCAGCTGAGACACAAAGGCTGAGTAGGTGTGGGCGAGGCAAAGAGAAAAGGTGTTCTTGGCCGAGGGACCAGCATGTGAGCTGGCTCACAGGTGGAGGGAAGTCTGGACATCTGGAATCATGGACAGCTGAGAGGAGAGGGCAGGGGAGTGAGCAGAAAGGCAGCAGGGCCTGGGGATGCCAGATCCTTGGAGGGCTTGAGACCGTGTCCACAGGGCCTTGGGTCTGGGTGGGGCTGGTTAGGATGGCCCTTGTCAGGGTCATTCCCCACCCCAGAGCCCCTGCCAGAGACTAAACTTCAGGTCCAGCTCGTTGGAGCTCAAGAGAGCACCTGTCAGATGCCAGGTGCTGTGCTAGGGGCCTGGGGATGCACAGATGTGCATCACAGGCCTTGCCCTGAGGAAATCGCAGCCCTGGAGTGGAAGACTGACCTGTAGAAAGTAATGATTATAAGCAAGGTGGCTGCATCAGCACGGACTCTAGCATACCGGCTGTTTCCTCCAGCCGGATCCTCCCTCCCCTGTTGACACCGGCCTGAGCCCTTCTCCCCTGCAGTTGCTGTCAATGTCATTCCCTCTAGGGAGCCCTCTGGGTCACAGGCTCATGCTTATCCCTCCCAGCTCCCCTACCAGACCTGGGGCCTGGGCAGTGGGGTCAGGGCCTGGCACGCTGGGTGCACAGAGGGCGCTGGATAAGGGAAGGAAGGAGAGATGAGCACAGACAGGCCATTCTCCGGAGGCGAGGACACACAGACGGCCCCCCGTCTCTGGTTCTGCCTCTGCAAAGCCCCCTCCCCCTCCCGCCCCAACTTACTCCTAGGAACCCATCTTTGCTCTTGGTCATGGACTCTGGAAGCAGGGGCTGGAATCGGGCTTCTATGGTGAGAGTCTCCTCGCTGGGGTCAGGGGGCAGCTCCTCCTCCTCGTAGCTGGCCGTAGGAGTCGACCCTACGAGACACAGGTCGCTGGAGAGGGGTCCTGCCTCAGATGGCAGGGCCTTACTTCCTAGGATGTCCACATGGGCCAGTGATTAAGGGAGCCAGGCTTGGGAGGGATGGGAGTGGGAGGCTTTAACAGGTAACAATCACCAAAGTAACAATATAGATTACATCGTTTATCAAACATATACAAATAAATTGTATATGTATTGGGCTAGCTCAAAAGTTATTTGGGTTCTCCCATAACATCTTGCAGGAAAACCGGAACGAACTTTTGGGCCAACCCAATATGATATACAAAGTGTATATATAATGTATACAACCTAGTATATCCCGCATATACAATTTCTCCTATATATATTCACGTTTTAGTTTCACAGTAGTCCTGTGAGGCAGTATTATCAATTCCATTTTACAAATGAGAAATTGGAGGCTCAGAGAGTTGAAGTCACTTCCCCAAGGACACACAGCTAGAATGAATCAGGATTAAAACATGGGCCTCTTTTACCCTAAACCTACAATCAACCACAACTCTCTTCTGGGGACATTAAGATCTCCAAAGTTTCCTCAAAGGCTCAGGAACCAGATGACCTGGGTTCAAGTAGCAGCCCCACCCCTCACCAGCTGCATGGTGGTTGGCCCAGGGGCCTGTTATGAGGATTAAATTAGGTAATCCACGTGGTGTTAGCACCAGGCCTGTACAGAGTAAACCGTAATAAACGTCAGCTGTATGACTATTACCAATGGTTTCAGGGTTGGGGATCCACAGGGCCAGGGCCCAAACCTAATTCTGACCCTAACGTGTCCTTCTACCAGGCCAGGCTGGCCCCCTTCCCTGAGCCCATCTCGGGTGAGGTCAGCTCTATTTCCTGGACCATTTTGGGGGCAAATCCCTCAGCCCTTCCCGGACTCCTACACGAGAGATGGAGCCCATGCTACTATGCATGTCCGGTCATGGGGGGCTCATGGAGAAGCAAGGGCTGCTCGGGGAGGTCAGGGAACGTGGAATCAGGCAATCTTTGGTGTCACAGAAAGAGTGCTTGTCCTGAAGACAGGAGACCTGCTTCTACCCTGATTTCCTGGGTGGCCCGTTTCCCCATCAGTATAAGGAGGGGCAGGACTGACAGTAGTTGAATTTGATTCCTTGGATCTTTTCCTGCTCAGAGACCTGCCAAGTCTGTAGTCTTTCAAGGGTGGAGGGAGTCAGGATGAAGGCTTAAGGGGGGGTGAGTAATAGCAGGGCGGGGCCCCACGACCCAGATAAGGGAATGAAGCATGGGTGGGTCTCGCCATGACTGCTCTCTCGGGGATAGAGACCATTGCTTGGCATTTGTTGACGGACTGACAGACTGGATGGGTACATTCAAAGGAGTGCTTACCCAGGAATCATTGGAATCACCAGGATGCCTTTTTAAACTACCGATGCCCAGAACCCCCTGAGTCAGACCTACTCAGTCAGTCTTCAGCGGCTAGAACCTGGAGAAAATGTGCTTTTGATTAGCACCCCACCCCCCACCCCCAGTGGCTTCTGATGGAAACCCTTGTTCTAAAGCATCCCAGTTACTTCTGCATTTCTAAGTCAAGGCAACAAAATTTCAAAACAGCAATCTGGAAACCTCAGAGGAACTGAACAACAGGAATATGTAGGGTTACTGGTCGGCTTGCTTATCCAATCATTTTACTGTTATCACAGATAATTCTGAATAATAATGCCCTGCATTTGTGGCTCTTTGGTTTTTAAATAAAAAGTTGTATTTCCTGACTTAAAAGTAAACTTTGTTCACTATAGACAATTTGTAAAAATGATAAGTTACAAAGCAGAAAATTAGGCATATATAACTGTACCACCTAGAGAGGACTGTTTGCCTCTATTTCTTGCTTAGATTTGGTGTTTCTTTTTGGTTTTAATTTTTGTCCTCCCAACAACTTGGTTCAGTTTTGTACTCACAGGGGCTTAGGCGGTAATGGAGGGAGAGATTATTGTTCTCTGATGGAGAAACAGATTTGTGTGAAAAAATTAAAAGCATCCCCAAGCCCAGCAAGCTTGGCCAACATGTCATTATGAGGGAACTCTGGCTTTCTAGGTGCAGAAAAGGACAAGAAGGTGGCTGTGTGGCTGCTCAGAGAAGTGCATGCAAAACACCAAGTCAAAGCAACCTGCACGGTCACTTGCCCGTCTGCTTTTAGGACAGAACCTGACCGCCTCTGGGAGCCCCTGACACGTCCGCTCCACCAAATTAGCATTTTTCATCTGATTCTTCTCTGACAGACCACCAGGCCGGGACTAGGCTGACCTACCCAACCCAATCCTGAGACACAGAAAGCCCATCTCAGACCTCGGGTGCTTACTTGCTTGAGAGCAGCTGGCATCTCTTTCTGTCTTTCCCATCTATTGACCTACTTACACCAGGCGATCTGGGTAACAAGTAGAAGCCCAAGATCAGAAGTTCAAGAAACATCACAAGATATGGACACAGAGGTTAGGGTGGTGATGGAGCGGTGGGAGAGACATTTTATAATTTATGAGAATGCTTTAGCTCATCTTTACAACCGAAATCAAATTACATCCAGGCAAAAACGGGTGACAAAGTAGGATAGGAATCTGACAGTTCCCCAGGAAAGTTTAATATTTAGTAGTATAGCAATAGCTCCTGTCTATTGATTATCCAGGCTTCCCAGGTGGCACAGTGGTAAAGAATCTGCCTGCCAATGCAGGAGATGAAGGAGACTTGAGTTCAATCCCCAGGCCGGACAGATCCCTTCGAGTAGGAAATGGTAACCTACTCCAGTATGCTTGCCTGGAAAATTCCATGGACAGAGGAACCTGGCAGGCTACAGTCCACGGGGTCGCAAAGAGTTGGACACGACTGAGCACACATACCATGCCATTGACTATCTACTGCATACTGGGCACTTTGCAGACGTTTTCTCTAATCCTCAAATCAGCTGGTGCAGGACCTGAAGACAGAAGCTCCCTAATCCTTGCCCTGCACCTTTCCATCCTGGGCAGGCTGGAGAGCCTTCCTGCTCCCCAGTCTCTCAAACTATACACATGAGGATCAGGTCAGCATCCATCTCACAGGCTCTGCTAAGAGATAACTCAGAAGGTGCTTAAAGTGATGTCTGGTCCTGAGAAAGTGGTCAGAGAATGTTAGCTTGTAATATTCACCCGTGAGGAGAACAGGCTCGGGGGGCGAGTGTATGCGTGCATGTGTGCGCACATGTGTGTCTGTGTGTGTACTCATGGTGAGGCAGCTTGCCCAAACCACCAGCTAGAAAGTATCTCTGAAGCCCAGGGCAGCCTCCTCCTACTCCAGGCAGTCCTCCTGCTCAGAGCAGACACAGAGCAAGAACCAGAGGGCGGTGCCCCAGGTCCCTCCTCCCGGGTCCCCAGTTTCTCTGGGTACCTGTCAGCTTCTCAGCGATGGGCTTGAACTCCTCCGGGCTGATGTACATGTCCCGGTCAGCATCCAGGGAGGAGAAGAGGAAGAGGCCTTCTGTCCCCAGGGTTTTCAGTGCTGAATCCTGCTTGGGAGGAGGCGCTGGGTTGAGCAACCGGATACCCAACTGGTGTCCCTAACCACTCCGGCCACCACCTTCCTGAATTCTTTCAGCGCATCCATCTCCCAAACATCTGTCCAAATGCCACTTCTGCAGCCCCAGAGCCCAGGATCTCCCCCGCCTCCCCGTTCCCATCCTTCTCGGTCCCTGCTACACTCCATCGTCCACTGTCCACTCTCCGAGTGGCCGCTTTGTATCCGGAGCCATCTAGAGTCACCCTTTTGGTCCACCCATCGTCCTCCCTGGTGTCCCCTCCCCACCGTCCCAGCGCCCCCGGCCCCGCTCGCCCGGGTGCTCGGGTCCCAGCCTCGCTCAGTGCTTTGTCTGCGGTGAACTGTCCTAGTCACCCATCCGCCCGCTCCCCTAGGAGCCTGTCCCAGCCCCGGCCTCACTCGGGGCCACTCTGCTCTCCCCCGCATCAGTCCTTCCTAGCCCGCCCGATCTCTGGAGCCCCCTGTTTTCCTTCCTGGCCGCTCTCCCGACCCTCCGGCACTGTCCCCCTCCGGTCAGGCTGCCCTTTTATCCCCGCCCCGGCCCCCACCGGCCCCCGGCCCCTCGGAGCCCTGCCCGTCGGCGAGCCCCGCCGCCCCGGGCCCACCCGAGCGTCCACGGCCGCCGCCGCGCCCTCCCCCCCGACTCGGACCTGCCTCGCGGCCGCCTGGGNTAAACTACCAAGTTCAGCCCTCCTTGTTTCTTTCACGGGCCTGCAGGCTGTGAAAGGAAGGCCACCTCTGCAGATTCATTAGGGACAGGAGCTACCTGTGTAAGCACAGAGAAACGTGCCGCGCTGAACCCTCGCCTGAGGGCCCAAGTTTCCTCACCTGTGAGGATTCAGAGAGGTTCTTCTGTGGGTTGGTTGGTGTTCAGTCGCCCAGTCGTGTCTGACTCTTTGCAACCCCATGGACTGCAGCACCCAGGCCTCTCTGTCCATCACCACCTCCCAGAATTTACTCAAACTCATGTCCATTGAGTCAGTGATGCCATCCAACCATCTCATCCTCTGTCCTCCCCTTCTCCTCCCGCCTTCAATCTTTCCCAGCATCAGGGTCTTTTCCAATGAGTCACTTCTTCGCATCAGGTGGCCAAAGTATTGGAGCTTCAGCTTCAACATCAGTCCTTCCAATGAATATTCAGGACTGATTTCCTTTAGGATGGACTGGTTGGATCTCCTTGCAGTCCAAGGGACTCTCAAGAGTCTTCTCCAACACCATAGTTCAAAAGCATCAATTCTTTGGAACTCACCTTTCTTTATAGTACAACTCTCACGTCCATACAGGACTCCTGGAAAAACCATAACTTTGACTGTACGGAAATACCCAGGCTGGTGGGGGGTGGCAGCCCCCAGGCACAGGGCAAGGCTGGCTGTGGGTTACCCCTCTCCCCTGCTGGACCTGGCCTGGCCACTGGAATGGTTTTTCTGGAGAACAACACTTGGGGGAGGGTCTTGGGCATAGAGGCAGGTGGAGTTTGAGAAAGTACTTTCAAGTCCCCAGAAACCTTGGTTCCACTGGGCCTCTTTTCCGTTGTATCAAGGGCCGGGGAGCCCAGGGGTGGCTATGCCTGCACTTCCCCACGAGAGGGCAGCAGCTGCCAAAGCCTCTGGACAGGAGTCCAGAGTCTGGGGAGCAGCCGTGCAGTCCTTGGAGATGACTGCCCGCCCCAGGGCAGGGCAGCGCCCGGGTCTGGGATGTCAGGGGAGATTTAATAGGTACTTAGCACCCACTGTGTGCTGGACTTGGTGCCAGGAAATTCATGCCATCCTGTTTCATCCTCACGTCACCTAATGAGGCTTGTTTGCCTTATTTGAAAATTGAGGAGACTGGGAATTCCTTAGAGGTCCAGTGGTTAGGGGGCTTCCCAGCTGGCTCAGTGGTAAAGAATCCTCCTGCCAGTGTAGGAGATGCAAGAGATGTGGGTCAAGAAGGTCCCCTGGAGTGGGAAATGACAACCCACTCCAGTATTCTTGCCTAGAAAATTTCATGGATACAGGAACCTCGTGGGCTACAGTCCGTGGGGTCACAGAGTCGGACACGACTGAGTACACACACAGGCGCACCAGTGGCCGGACTCCGGGTGCTCCCTGCTGGGCCCAGGTTTGCTTCTTGGTCCAATAACTAAGATTCTGCAAGCCACAAGGCAGGGCCCATACAGTAATAATAATAAACTAAAACTGAGGATCCTGAGCCCTGCCACCCAGGTCTGCCTGAGTCCAAATCTCTTGCTGTGCTGCCTCTCAGGGGATGGCCCAGCTGACTGGGTGGTGGGCATGGCACTGGTCTCTACCACCACTTCTGTCCTTCATGGGTAGCCAGCCATGACAGTGCCATGTGGCCAGGGCCCTGCCTCCCTAGTGCCCTAAATGACCTGGCACATAGTGGGCACTCTCATGTCTTTTGGATGACTGACGCCCAGGGACCAAGAGTTGTGGACCCTGGACCCAGCCCTTGCCCAGCTCTCTGGCCCCCCATCCTCCGAGGGACCCACAGAGGCCCTACATCTGGTGTTGGCTCCTGAAGGCGTCCAACTGTTCCACTTCCAACTCATTACTGCTGATGTTTGGGGACACCCTGCACACGACAGATGCTATTAGAAAACCAAATTCTGTTCTTTCAGGAAGCAAAACTAACGGAGCACAAAGCAGGTTGGGGGGAAGATTGATGAGTCAAGGCCCCTGGAAAATAAATGAGGGACGTTTTCTTCACCAGATCACTTTTACTTATTACACTTGCTTTTTGTTAAAGACAAGGACCCCACTGGTCTCGGTGGCCCAGGGCTGGAGAGATGTGACTGAGACTGGGAGGGGGCGTGCCTCTCAAAGTTGGGAGGTTTCTGGGCGGGGTGGGGTGCGGGGAGAGGGGTGGACTTAAAAGATTTGACTCAAGTCAGTGAAACTCTGGAAAAAGGGTCAATCTTGGGATCCAGCTCTGGGGAGACATCAGCTCTGGCATTGTCAGTGTCCCACTGGTGGGCATCCTTCCCAGGAGGGCTTGCCTCCAAGCCAAGGACCGGGGCAGAGCAGGACAGAGCCTTGAGAGGTTGGGCCCCTGTAGCCAGGGGCAGCCCTGCAGGAACTCTTTGGCACCTCCTGTGTGGGCAGGGTGACATTTGGTAGTAGCAGCAAGTGGAGACTGCACCAAGGTAAGTGGCATATTGGCCATGTCCTTCTCACCCATTAGCAGGGAGATCACTCATTCACCTACTGAACAAATAGTTACTAAGGGTCTTCTATGCTTTGTTCTGGGAACTGGGGATCCATCAGAGGATAAAACGAATCTCTTTTTTTTTTATTGAATTAACTTTTTAATTAATTTTAAAAAGGAAAGATGTTGAGAAGGATGCTGGTATTGGCAGTGAGACACTGAAGGTCTATGATCTGAGGTCTGAGAGTAGACTAAGGAGTGGTTACCTCCCAGCTGCCATTTGACATTTGTTTCAGTTCATTCCAGGAGGAAAGAGAAAGGCAGGGAGGTAGGGAGTGTCTCAGCAAAGCTGGCTTCAGCTCTGGTCATCTCACCTACCCACTGCATTTAAGGAGCTCCAGGTTAAGAGTTTCAAAACATAAGGCACCTAGTCCGCCACTCAGGAGAAGGGAAGTCACTCCAAGTTCCCAGAAATCTCCTATCTCAGATCTGAGCGTGTCCAGGGTTTCAGCTGAGCTTTTCAGGCCAACCAGCAGTTACTTGGTCTGCCTGCGGCCTTGACCCCATCTCTGGGAAGGGCTACAGTCAGAGGGAGTAGGGGAGTCTAGCCCCCAAGCCTTTGGAGGCACAGTTAGACAGTGAAAAGAAGAGCCCTGGGCTCAGTGATTCTAGGAGGGAAACTGGTGTGGGCAGCATCTCTCCTGGGCTGGACAGTGAAGGCTGGACACACAGCAGATCCACTCCTATTGCAGCTTCCAGCCCCTAGAACTGCTCCCCGGCCTGTCTCAGCCTCCACCGGTCTCAGCTGCTCCTGAGATGCACCTGTCGTGGCAAGTCCATCTCCAGCCCCAATCTCTCCAGAGCCGATGTGAATCAGGTGGACAAAGCTCATTGGTTCCCCAACCACAGCCCAGTCAGTCCGGCTCCTCTTGTTCAGCTCGGCCTTCTCTACCATGTGGCAGCCTGGTTTGTCCCAAACTCGCTCATGTTGCCCGATGGTTCCGGGTTGACTGCTCTGCCTGGGGCCCCAGAGGGTTCTTGCTCTGATACCCGGACTGCCCCCTCCTCACTCCCCTCGTGTCACAGCACCCTGGGTTTACTCAGCTGGACAGGTCTAGAGCAAGTAGAGTCCTCGGCCTTAGCTGGGCAGGGAAGGGTCAGTGTCTCGGACCCCGAGAGACTAGCAGGGTCGGGGCAGGGTGGGCAGGCCAGCACAAGGTCCTGTCTCCTACCGACTTGGAACCCTGCTCTGCTCTGGCTTCGAGTCGTCTGGCCGCAGCTGGTGGCGGGGATTCTCTCTCTGTGCCCGCCAGGATGGGGTTCCTGGGCTCGCTCCTCAGTGCAGTGGGGGAGCCAAGGGCCAGAGTCCCTGGTCTTCTAGACGAATCAGCGGAATCTCTGACTCCCGGGAAGTGAGTGCCCGGCGAGAGGGATGCACGCAGAGGAGGATCCCCTTGACTGTCAGGAGGGGTCCAGCCAGGTCCGAATGCGGGAGGTCACTGGGTGGAACACGGAAGAACATTCCAGGGGCAGCCAGAACAGAGGCAGAGGCTCGAGGCGTGTCTATGGCTTTGCGAGGATGTAGTCCAGTGGGTCTGGGCAGAGCGGGATTCAGGGCAGAGGTGGGGGTGCTGTGAAGGGAGAAGCTGCAGGAAAGACAGGCTGAGCTCCAGCCAGCTTGTGAAAAGCCTGGACTTCACGCTGGGGACAGTGCAGTCACAGTGGGGCGGGACCTTCTGCCGCTGATGCACCTTCAGATGCTGGGGCCCGGTCCCTGATTCTGTGTCCTGGCTTCTGCCTCGAGGTACAGGAGTTCCGTGTGCACACCCCGGGTGGCCGTGTAGACCCTCCCACTGCTCCCCTGGAAGAGGAGGCAGGTGGCCTTGGTGGCTGGGCCACGGCTTCACACCCCAGCTGTGGCTCTTTCTCTCTCACACATACCCACACCCTCACCTGCCTGCCTTCTGGAAGCTTCCTCTTTTCTTCTGCTTCCTGTGTCCCTGGAGTACGGGTGCCAGGAAAAGGTGTCTCTCCTGCAGGGGGCTCTGCCACTCTCCAAGGAGTAAAACCAAATGAAGATTTTTCTCTGGGCTTCCCTGGTGGCTCAGTGGGAAATAATCCGCCTGTAACACAGGAGACATGGGTTCAGTCCCTGGGTCAGGAAGATCCCAGGGAGAAGGAAATGGCAACCAGCTCCTGTATTCTTGCCTGGGAAATCCCACGGACAGAGGAGCCTGGCGGGCTAGAGTCCTTTGAGTCGCAAAGAGTCAGACACTACTTAGCAATTGGACATGCGTGCACACTGGCTCTACTGGGATAACAAACCTGGTGGGGATGGGGGTGAGGTCAGGGGGTAGTGTTTGGCTGTGTTTTCTTGTGTCTCTCCTCTATTGTTTAGGACCTTGGAAAGTCAGAGGGGTGATTTGCCTCACACCCAACACTAGCATCTTGGCAGCAGTAATAAGCCCAGTGTCACTTGGGAAAACTGTTGGCATTGCAGGAGTGGCTTTACCTGCC